GACCACTGCCGCATGGCCCAGTCGACACGCGAAAATCGGTAGACTCCTTCAAATCTGCCCGCCGTTTCGTTTCAACTACCTTGGACGACCTGACTAGAGGCGGTCATACCGTATTTCAATTACCACGGGTGGGTTGCGTCGTATGAGTAATAATTTTTTCCATATTTAAGTCATCTTTCGCTGCATGAAAAAGCACAAAATAACTGCTAAGAGCATTGGTTTGGCATTATCTGTTTTGCAGTATACACAGTTCTGTTGTTGCTTCCTAACTTGATCTGTGGTCCAAACTGCTGTAGTAAACGTCAACACTATATTTAATTGTTGTACTTCTTTCAGTTGGTTTTTTTCAAGGAATAACTTTTTTTAATAATTAATGAGTGTTGTCTGTAGTGCTTCATGCTCAAGTGAAAGTTCAGTGGAAGTAAGTGAGGCGTTTCAACGTATTATACTGAACAAGCGATTCGGAAGCTGGATTGAATTTGATAGTGCGCTAAAGGATTTTCCTAAGGTATCGCAAACACACAACAAAATATTGGGAACGTACGTAAGGCCATTGGTAACCGCAGAAACAATTGGAAGGTATCCTTGCCGCCATCTGCTACTGGCATATGTTAAAAGATGAACAATTACAGGAAGACTTAATCACTTAATACAATAATAATAATGCATATTATAATATATATTTCTGCATGTGCAGGTACACGCCATTTTTACGGGCATGATCTATGAATTACAACATTCGTTGTTGCACAACATGCTTCCCAACTTATTAAGTTTATAGTTGTCATAAAGTGGACTCGTAGAGCGAAATATAAACTATATAGCTCATCACATTCTTAGGCGTTGTTGTAGATGGAAGTTAGATAATACTCACAACTTACAAAACAACACAACAGTCCCATTACTGAGACGGAGTGAAGAATATATACAAATTCAATGGATCCGAAGAATGTGCAAACAACAAATTATTGAAAAATATGGTGAACCATTCGCGAAACAGGTGGAGAGAAAAGTCTATAATTTTTACTTAAGAATTATTAACAACTAGACAGCACGTTTGCGATAAAAAGTTATTTGTGGCTTTATTTTTGACTTCACTATATATACAACTTGTAAACTTATCTTTCATCTTTAGTAATCATGACAAATCAATAAACCTTTTCTCAATTTTTATTTTCGACTTCTTCATACTTTCATGGGGAGGTATACCAATAGTTTTAACGAATAATTGTGTGTGAGAATTAAGAATTTGCACTACTGCACTAGTTTCGAAGTGTCGTTAGAACTTAGCGCTATATCATTATTGATTGAGACGAACCAACGAGTCACGTAGAAAAGTAATGCGACTTCCACGTAAAACCTTACAGATTAGGCAACCGCCTGACATATTTCCCGTTATCGGATTACGTCTATTATCAAAGTAATATCAGTACCGAACTAGACAATTTCATGCAGTTAGTTCCCTGGTAAGATGGCTTACGTAATTCTTAAACCAACCTTCCACTCACACTTATTTGCTAACTTTGTCCTCTTAAATTACGTGAACTCTTCAAATTGTATTCAATTATTTCATTAGTTTGTAATTCGATGATTTATTCATTATCTCTAGGATTATCGCACAGTTTATCTTATCTGCTTCTGAAGTCCATTTGACTATTACACCACCTATCCCTAATGTTTCCTTAAGTCCAACACCAAATAACCTTTGACCTGTTCAAGCATATATATAGTTATTATTGATAACCTAGGTCATTCCAATTCTTTGCTTTCTATTATGTTAGTTGTTTCATACTATTTATTACCTCATTGTTAAATTATAACACATATTTGGTTACATGCAGTTTGCGAGAAAACAAGAAATATAATGCAGTCACATTATTCTGCATCAATATTTGTTTTGGCTTTATTTAGACTATAATTATACATACTTACTGGATTTATAATGTAAAACACTGAGTGTGGTTGTTATATTTATATTTAAATAATTCATTAGATGAATGAACATGGCAGTAGGCAATATAAAACAGTTATCGTAAAGTTGTAAACCGGTTTTCCGCAGGACCTTTCATGATCATAAATTCCACAAGCTTCATACTATTCTGAAAAAACAACAAATCAGTCTTGAGACAAACAATTAAACTCTGTTATCAGTATCAAATTCAAAAAGTTAATCGAATAGCAGGTAATAGAATGTACCGATAATTCTCTTATTTGTAAACAGTGCTATTCATCAGAGACTTTGGATTCCGTTAATAGAAATTCATTGGTAATCTTTGGAACAAACACATCACAAATTAATGTTATTTACAAATTGCTGTAGTTACTGTGATCACAACATACAGGCACCGTTCGACTTATGAGGAAAATGTGACTAATTAGTGTGGCACAAGGAAGATATGAGTGCTATAAATTTGTGATTTAGCTTCGATTGCTCGTTCACCTTTCGTCACGTATTTTGCATGAATTACTTTGGACGAGTCAGTCTGTAATGTAGCAGGAATTCAAGAATTAACTCAATAATAGTTGTTATTTGATTCTAGGGTTATGTCGTATCAAGAACTGGGAGCTTCACACTCTTATGACATTGGTTTGTACCAAGTTTATGATGTGAATGAAATTTTAATGGTTTCACAGCTCATTTTGCTTTAAAACTCTGATTTCAGTATATTTATGACTTCACTAGCTGGTTACAAATAACCTATAAGTTTCTTATTTCATGTAAACAGCGCGCTTCCTTTTCTAACCCTTCTAGTATTTCACCTAGACATTTGATATTAGCAAAAAAATTTTAAGCAACATTTAGATACTACTCGACAATATGCATTATAACTTTGTTCATAATTTGGTCAGTGATTGTGGATTCTGTTTACAGAAACTTATTCATGAACCCTATAACAGACACATCATAAGTCAGCATTAACTACGACATGGTTTTGTCACCATGCTCAAAAGAGACGCTCATCGTTTTACTTATGAAGACTTTGTGACTACCTAATGTGGCACTTCCAGTGGTGTTATACGCTGTTCCTGTATGCGTTCAGTAAGTGGATGGAAAAGACTATCATCGTCAATTGTTACTCACATATTTCTTCTCGGATACGTTACATAAGAGTAAGTCACTTCAGTGCAAAACGATGATACTTATAGTGGATATACCTGTTTACAGCTATATATTAGCAAGTTATATAATGTTCATAAATAGTTTAAAACTTAATTGCTTCGACCTACATTTTATAAATAACTACCAACTCCCATGTTCATGATGACCGTAATCAAGGATTTGAAACAGATATAATAAGTTTTAAAGCTTATTTTCATGAAAACTCAATTGTGTGATCTATTTTTTGACTTGAAAAATGGTGAATTTTACTTTCTTAAGTTGGCATTGTTACAAATAACCATATTAGGCTTACCAAAGTTTCACTTAGGTGGTGAGCAGCAAATACGTCAAACTACTAATAAACTGGAATAAAACCTATGTAACAAGCACAAACATTACGGAAATTGACGTGGGATGGAAAAAACGCTGTTAATAGCTGATAAATAACGACACAAACAATCCACGACAATGTGTGGCATGTGCGCGAAAACCTCTGACTTACCCTTAATGCCCGTGCCGGCAAGTACACAGCATACGATTAACTGATGCGCGTTGGTTGTCCTTGACCTTGACGAGGGTCGATGATTTGCTCCATTTTCAATGATCAAATTGCCGGATGATATGGCTAGTTCTTAGCGACATTTCGCTGGTCCAACAAATACAAAATCGCAAGGGGAAAGTCGACATTATTTAACATTACTTCTCAAAAGCTTTTGATAAGATCAACCATATATGTCTCTCCAATGAGCTCAGACGATTGGATATGAAATCACCTCTAATTAGCTGGTTCACTTCATATCTAAAAAATCGACATTTAAAGGTCAGGGTGAACTTCACTTTCTCTCAGGCTATGGAATGTCTTAGTGGGGTCCCCCAGGGTTGAGTACTAGGACCTCTTCTTTTTTGACTTTTATAAGTGATCTTCCACAACAAGTATCGTCTGACTAATCACTTTTTGCTGATGATGTGGAACTTTGGAGAGAGAGATGCGCAACCAAAAGGATATAATGGCACTTCAGGAGGATGTGACTAGACTTCAAAGATGGGCAGACGACAACGGACTTACCTTTAACACTTCAAAGTGTAAAGTAGCCCATCTGAGACATGTTGCAGACTACAGTTACAACTTAGGAAACTCCTCTCTAGAAGTATCTCAAGTTGAAAAAGATTTAGGAGTGCTGGTACCCCATGATTTGAAATCTTACGCTAACTGTGACAAAATGCCTTTCGAGAAAACCTCACATTGGTAACATTGAAGGGCATTTTTGGCTAGTTTGACAGAGGAACTTTCCACATGATCTTCAGCAGTTTTATTCGTTCCCATTTAGAGTATGGAAATATAGTATTTCCTCCCTCACTCCAAAAGGATAAGGACACTCTGGAGCGCATCCAACGGCGAGCCACGAAATCAGTTCAGAGACTCAAATTCAAGCCTTGTGAAGAGCGTCTCCAGTCAATAAACCTTTGCCCACTAGAGTATAGGCGTCTTAGAGGCGACCTTCCAGTGGCTCACAGTATCCTTAACACTTCTGCACATCCCCTTAAGTTTAGCTCTAACACAAACCTAAGGAGTAACACCCAGAAACTAAAGACACAACTACTACTCCCTAAGAGTTGTCAAATTCTGGAATTTGCTGCCGGATGAGCTAGTCCAAGAGACTTCCCAGGAGTCATTTAAGAGGCAACTTGACCTATTCTTACGGACTAAGGATAATATCTTACTATGATTTACCAATTCCCTTTTCCTCTATTATCGTTAATATACCTAGATTCCTGCCTAGAGGTATTGGCGATCCACTGCTATTAGATACGGAATGCCGTTAAGCGAAAGCTTCTTTTATTCCGTCGACAACCATTTGAACCATTTGAGGTCATAGTCAATCAAGGTGATGCCGGACTGATGACCTTGGACCGGTTTAAAACTATAAGCTGTAAGTCAGACGTCGGCGTTCTTGTTTTGGCATTGGTTTTTGTAATAAGCAATACGGGTCGTTCTTTGCAGTCCGAAATACCGAAGAGGGTTAGCCCCATCTCGGATTTCGGGAAAGATAAAAATAATACTATTAGGTCACACTCCGATGTTATCTGGAAGTACACTACTTTGTGGCACCTTCACCGTTAAATATTGAAATAACTTCCAAAAGGTGCATAAAGAAGAAAAGCCCGTCATGAGTTTGAAAGATATCCTGTTTGGTGGCACTTTTGAAGCGTACTTTCATATATTTAAGCATATATCCTTGAAACACTTTCAGGTTTTAGTATGTGATTCGTGTTTCTTCAACTAAGTGAACTCATATTGAATGCATCATGGTTACATATTATTATTATTATTGGGACAAATATCGGTACAAAGGGGCACCGAGTACATATGCGCCACACAAGTCACTTGATTTGTGTGTGGGCTGTGATACTACTCGGGTGCCCAAACCGAAGCAGGATGATTACATCTAGATAATACATTAGTCATTCGCATGTCTGATACTCTAGTTTATTGGGATTTAATAATCAGCAGTCAAGACAGTCTTTTGTTCGTATTCTGTCATGTAATCAAATTTTCCAACCTGAGTTTTACAGAATTATTACAGAAATTCGCTTAAAAGGAGGGAATATTCTCAACGTTTAAAATTGGTATAAAAAATCAATGACTCCTACATCCATTTTTTGCCTTAGTCCTACCTTGTATAATCGATTTCTAAATATTTGTGCACAGTGTAGTCTAGTCTGGTTTTATTGTACTGTAACTAAATGCCCAACTGTTTAGAGAACGCCCAAGTTTTAGGACATTAAATTGGACACTATTAACAACTAACAGGGTCTTTTATGATTCTGAGTACGGGTGTGTGTCTTTATTTTTTTCTAAGTTAGTTGTATTTCTGGTGAAATATTTCTGTCGGAAGTTGTTGTTTGTAGCGCTATGATCAATTGTCATCAACAACCGGTTCAACGTTGATAAAATGCTTGAGATAGTGTATCTAATTCTTAACGTAGTTTGTAAAAAACTTATTCTTCATCCGGTTTATACAGATTTGTTTCATTTCGCTCACTGGATATATGCAATGGGAACGTTATCGGTAAACGATTGTCTCACATAATGTCTCACTATTTTATTATTCACGCTTTTGACAATGGTTTTTATAGATTTTTCTTTCGATTATTCCCAGTTTTGTGTCTTGGTTTTATATACTTATTTGCCTTCTCAGCAGAAATGAAACTGCAACTTTTGGTTTGTTTTTACGTAACAGCTCTAGACGTAATTGTTGTGGTGTTTCTACTTTTTGTTAATTTTTCAGCCTTTGAATTCAAGTTGGTTTTTTTAAGCACCGTAAATTTTTCATCTCTCTCGAAACTGAAATAACGTGTTACCAGTTTTGCACTTCTGGATACAAATGAGCCTACCGTAAATTTGTCTGTGGGTAAGATTAGTTTGTGTTCTCACATTAATCACTGTGTTTGGATATCGCTTTCTTTCTTCAATATGCCACGGCTTAAGAACTGTCCAGCAATTTAGAAACACTTTTCTTGAGAGAAAAATGTCATTCTTGATTATGAATGTAGTTATAAAACAGAATCATAAATTTCAATTAGGTTACCTAATTTTTTTGAATGATAATTATACTAAAAGTAAACCAAATAACACGGATACCCGAAATCACTACAATAAAATAACAAATGGCAAGTGAAATTTCCTAAGGAATGTTTGTTGACGCCTTATCTTCTGTTGCTTGATAGATGTCAAATACGCTGTTTCAGATTAAATCAATTAATAAAGCCAACAATAATATACTTACTATCTTCATGTAACCTATTGTCATCATTATGAATTTTTAACAAAACAGGTCATACACCAGTATTTTGTTTAGTAACGGTCTTTTGTTACATTTACAACGTATTCATAAGTTTAGACTCATACTGTTTAAGTCCAGGATAACGAAAATAATAACGTTCTTCCCCTTCGGGAAAGTTCTGAAATTCGTTTTTATTCCATGCAATATCAGAGTACTTTATAAGCACAGAAAAGTTTAACAAATGTTACAGTCACTGAATACAACCTCTTTTCACTATCTCTGTTAGCACTGACTAAAAGTTACAGATTTTGGAAAGATGAATACTACTGACCATTATGAATTATTTCTCTGCGTGGATTTGATCATTACTTACATATATTACTAACATGTGCAACTTGGCTTTATTTTAATACTATGACAAACGTTTTTGATAAAAGGTATTCATAGTTTATCTAGTAACCGTATAGCACCAAAATTTGCAAAAACTTAGCGGAAAATATATCCCCGTTATTTTTGGTCTTCATCCCAGCCTCATCGTATAACAGGAATTTAAATGAAGTCATGTATGGATAGTATTATTTTCACGTTTTACCTTTTTAAAGGTCTTGTAAATATGTGCTGTTCATCTTGATGTTGCAATATTTTGTGATGAAATGATGGCGAGTTTATAGATGTGGCATTTATTCAATAATTTATGTGAATTGATCACGTGATAGCTGTTCACAAAATAATCTTACGACATAGATTTCCGGATGTATTAATGACAGTAGGCCACTTGAACAACCAGGACGCGGTTTACCTACCAATCGCATATAGGAGCAGCATTCAGTTTAATAGAGTTGTAATTCATAGTTAGGTTTCTTATACGGTCCAGAAGTGCAACTAAGACTATACTAGATCTTATGCAACGATGAGTATTGCATGAAAATAAGGAGATAGACTAAAATTTGAATTGACGCTTTTATATCTCAATAAATGTAAATGAACTATTCTAACATCTTAATGTATATCATATTATTAACAGGGTCTTGGTAAAGATATAACAGCTAGCAAGAAGGAGGTTCAACTACACTCAGCATCTCACGCTCTGATTACTATACAGAAGTCACCATATTATTTTTAACAACTGGTTTTTGGTCAAAATTGACAGCTCACAACAGCTGAATTAATATTTCAAATATTGATGTCTACGTTTATATTAGCGATAAAGACCTCATACTAACCTTCAGAATATGATCAAATAACCTGTTTATTATCTTTATATAGCAGTGGGTTTAACTGGAATTGTGAAACTACTGAGTTTATATTAGCCAATTTGAATAAAAGATACTTCAGTGTTCCTAACTCGGTGTCGATATGTTGTGCCCATATTAGATTATCTTCAGTCTTCTGTAGATCCTACTACGGAGTTGTTGTGAAGTACGATATAAAGATAATAAGTTATTTACTGATATTGAATTTTTCGCTTCTTTTTGTGATAATAACATAGTATACGCTTTTTTTCTGTGTTTACATTGATTCTTTACAACATTTTGGGATAGCTAAAACAATTCTGTTTTGGAAATATTTCTCTAGCTTTTGCAAATCAGTCCTATTTTAGAAGGACGTTTGCTAAATACACTTGAAATAAGATTTGGTTTTCCCGTTTTTAACCTTTTTCACAAAATAATGTTGGAGGTAATGTGTTGTCTTTTTTTCAAGTTTTCCACCACGTTTTATTGAGATGAATCTTTCAGTTTTTAATTTTCAGGACTATTTCTCTAGTAATGAAGTACATCAGATCTTCAAATAATCGTTTCCTTAGTAAGTTCTCTTTCTCTTAAATCTTACATTTCTCTATGTATGTAATCTTTAAATATCAAATAGTTAGTGACTAAATGTTTCAAATTATTGTTGATTTAGAAGATAATGTAAGACATAATTATCATTCGTGTTGCATTTACTCCTAATACAATACTAATCTCAGCGACGATCTGAATACTCTGAAAGTTACATTCTGTTAGTTTTGTAGACCAATCAAAATAATCGCGTATTATAAATTTAGAATTGTAATTTTCGTTCTTTGAATTTAATGAGACTGGAAAAAAGGGATGGAGGTCTAAAGTGTCTACTTTAAGTAGTAGAACTATTACCACAAATTCACCATCGAATTCTTTGGTTCTTAATCCCTTTGTTCCATGTTAAGTTTCTTTTACAGATCATTATATTTGCTCGTTTGCAAACTGTTTGATTAAAATAAACATAATATTTAAAATGTTTACATTGGCAAGAATAGCATTTACCACGAAATCATTAGAAGTGTATTACGATCAACAAATGTGGATTACCTGAGGAAAAAACCGTAAAGGATATTTGAAAGAACTAAAGATTAGTGAATAGATTACTGTTTAATTCGCTTTTCAGGTTTTTGGCGATCCAAACTGTTTTTTAACAGACAGAAACACAAATCGAATTCAACTTCTACTTCAATTTATTTTAGTCATATCTTTAATCGTAACATAATCGGAAAACTTGAGCAAAACTTAGGTTAATATATTTAAATTAAATTTTTCCAAACATATCAAAAAATTCGTAAAAATACGTCACCTAAAACATTTCTCATCCCATCATTTTCAAGTTTCATAGGCTTATTTTTCATAAGCATCCAAACTTATTCGTTTTTGGTTTAGTTATAGTTTCTCTCTTATTCAGTTCATTGTCAAGCCCAGAAAATTATTTTTTAAAGGTTTTTTTGGAACTAGCATATCTCTAATTTTCTGATCTGTTAAGATTCAGTTTATTCGGTCATTTTAAAATGTGATATATATATAATATTAAATCTTACATTGTCCATTATTTGTGCAAAAGCTCCACCGAATTGCCTTCGTAAAACTATTTAAGTTTACTTCTGAGCGTGAAGATATCCTGTTTGATGTTTTGTTTATTGATGAGGTAAATCCTTCAGACTTTTACTTTGGAACTAAATCTTTAATGTTAGTGATAATTTCATTGATCTTTCAGTATTATTAAATAATTAGGTGAGATTCATAATCGCCTTCAAGAAACAACAAGTATACGTCCAGATGAAATTTTGTTTGGTAATTTCATACTCAGTCAGTCAGTCAGCTACAACGTAGGACCAGGCACATATGTGCATCGGTCCAGGTTACCATACCTCATTAGCACAACAAGATGAACACCGGATTCATAGGAGTGGTTAGGTCAAAGGTTGCAATAAGGATATAGTATAGGAAGGAAGAATTAGTTCGTAGAAAGAAAGATATGAAGTGATTTTAATCTCTTAGTTTAAGGGAAGACAAAGAGTGTATACACCGACGCCATTGTGATCGATTCTGAGCCATGTCACCAAGAGTCTCCAACCATTGGTTACGAAAGTCACGCGGACCCCAACCAAGTAGTCTGCATCTACCAACATGGCTAAGACTAGAAGTTAGTGACTTCAAGCACTGATGCCACGTTTTGGTTTGGCCGCCCCTAACTTTCTTCCAACCATCCCCTACACCGGTTAGCATTGCACGTCGTGGTAATCGGTGTTCAGGCATACGTAATACGTGGCCCAACCATCTCAGTCGATGAAGATTCATAACCTCATCAACTGATTTACCATCATTCCCTAATACCCTACGTCTAACCTCACTATTACTTACCCGGTGATCCCAGCAGATGCCAGCAATATTTCTAAGGCATCTGTGGTCAAATACTTGTAGCTTACGGGTGTCTTCTACTCTTAAAGGCCATGTTTCGCTGCCGTAAAGTAAGACAGAACGGACTGCCGCGCAGTATACTCGTCCTTTTATTGATAGACGGATATCTCGCCTCCGCCAAAGGTGACGTAAGTTGGCAAAAGCCAATCGAGCTTTTCGAATCCGTGCTGAGATTTCGTCAGACACCAACCCATTAGGGCTGATCAGACTTCCAAGATAAGTGAAGTTGTCGACGCGTTCGACTACTTCACTCCCTATCCTTAGTTCAGGTGTTGACGCAAACCAGTCCTGAAGCAACAACTTGCATTTAGAGGGAGAGAAGCGCATCCCAAACATTCTGGCATTGTTGCTTAGTGCTACCAGAAGACTCTGCATTTTGTCAGCGTCTTCACCAAACAGGACTATATCATCTGCGTATTCTAAGTCGATAAGTGGACCTCCTGGAAGGAGATCAATACCCGAGAATTCAGTCGACGAGAGTGTTATTTCCATCAATAGGTCTATGGTGAAGTTAAACAAAAATGGAGAAAGTGGACAGCCTTGACGGACACCACTTGAAATTGCAAAAGTAGATGACAGTTCGCCATAAGCCCTGACTCGACTAGTGGTGTTCGAGTAAAGAGCCTTCACAAGGTTTATGTACTTCTGAGGTACGCCTTTCAATGACAGACACTGCCACAGAGTCTCGCGGTCTACAGAGTCAAACGCTGCTTTTAAGTCAAGAAAGACCACCATCGTCGGACGCCGATAGGTATGCCTGTGTTCTAGAACCTGACGAATGGTGAATATGTGGTCGATGCAGCCACGACCAGGTCCAAAGCCAGCTTGGTTCTCTCGTGTTTGCAGTTCACGAGTCTTAGGCGTCTGATAATTATCGAGGCCAGTATTTTAGATACTATGTTTGTTAAACTAATCCCTCTGTGGTTGTCACAGGATGATTTTGACCCTTTCTTATATATTGGGACGATAAGTGATTGCGACCAGTCAGATGGGATAAAGTCTAACTCCCAGATCGTAGCTAAAATATTAGTCAACCTAATCGCTAAAATTGGACCACCATCCTTAAAGACCTCTGGAGCCAATCCATCTGGACCAGCTGCCCTTCCTCGTTTCAGATTAACTATAGCCTTTTGAACTTCAGCAAGAATTTATATTCAGAAATTGATCAGAATAACAAGTTGTGCACTTTAGCATGAATGCGTATAGTAAGTCATCAAACAGACTTAAAAGCATGGAAAATATAAAATCCTAAAAGTAAAGAGCGACGCTGGTTCAATTCCAGTAGGGAGCATAAATTCCTTTGAGATTACACCTTGCTGACGAATGTCAAGTAGCACGAAGCCTATTTTCAAGATTTCATATTAACCGACTCCAACCACCAAACTTTTTAATTCAGTTTAGAATTTTTTAACCGACATTAAGATTTCCCTATAACCTCTAGTGTGTGTAGTCACAAGTGACTAGTGGAAATTCTCAGTATGATTAAAAAAATCCTAAACTGAATTAAATTACTCTTACTTTTCTAAAACAAATAATCACGAGAAGAATTCACTGTTCTTTTCAGCATGAAGTTAATTAAGAAAATAAAGTGGCATGTTTCTGTGAGTTCATTAAGTTCAAAGAAAAAACTGTTAACGATGCTAAATCCCATGAAATTAATCGGTAAACGTCTCATTTTTGCAATTTTATTTTGAAAATTCGAATTTCTCATTTTCGCGCCACAAACACTCGCTCTTACCCTCAGATTGTGTTTCCCACTTGGAAGGATCTTAAATATCATTGGTTCGTTTCCTCCTTTAATACGCTATTTTGTGACTTTTTCCAAGGATATTTTCATACTGCATCTATACTCTTAAGTTATACGTTTGTTTGTGCGTGCTTCCAACTGTTTGTGGAATATACTTTTCCCTTGGCTAAATCTGGTCTTCTCCCTCTTGTTAGCAGGACTGGGGCTCAGTGAATAGTTTAAATTATCTTGTGTCGCTGACTCTCGTTTCATTCACCGGTCCACGTGGTATCGTAATCTCTTCAAACGTAGCGAAAACATTACGGTTCATGACATTCATAAAGTTCGTTTATTTAGCCTCATAAATAATAAGTTTACTTTTTGACTTGAAAATCCTTTATTTTAACATTTACCATAAAGATAGTGGTGTCATAGTTGTTAAACCATTCAACTTTCAGCGATTTGGTTGTAGTTTCAAATTTCGTTTAATAAGTCTCTTGGCAGCCTAGTAACATTATTTATAAAATAGGGACTTAAATATGCTTACAATGGCCTATACTCAGTCATACACAGTACGGAACCTGACATACTTGTGTGTAAGTTCAAGTTGCTAAACCGTATCAACACGGCAAGGTGAAGTTATCAAGACAAATCCCATAGTAGTAGAAAAGATTAAACATAGACTATGATTCGAAAAAATAGAATCAGTTTAACGAATAAAAGTTACACGACATGTATTTGGTTACTAAGTTACGTTAATTATTTTGGTGTTGTTTCTGAACTATTCAGATGCAGGTGGGAAATACAGAAAGCTTTCAACCCTCGAATCATCAAGTATATCTGTCTATCCTGTAGCTGATCTAATGAGAGCACGTGCTGAGTTTATTCACCAATGGAATGTATCGATGTCCAACCATTCTGTAGCCAAGTCAATCAAAAGTGATCATTACAAATATCCACCAAATATAACTATGAGAAATTATCTAGAATATCCATTTCATGATAACGCACCGGAAGTATTTCCGTTTCTTCGGACTACAAAAAATATAAACACAACCCAAGTGGTAAAGTCTAAAGTTGTAGAACAGTCACTTGAACGTCATAAAGTTGAAATTAAAGTCGATAATATATCTGATAAAGAATTTAGGCGTGTTTGTATGCTGCTCACTGATAAGGCTTGTTTATTTGAAGATTCTGTACAATTAGCTAATCAATATCAATGCATATCAGCATGCTATTTTATGTGTGATTATTGTGATTACATTGGTAGGACAGAGAATGATGCCCAGATACATTTGGAACAAACAAATCATTTGACATGCAGTAAATATTCACCTTGCTATTATACAAATGATTGCAATGACATGTCAAGTGAGCTGCAAAAGCCACGTGTTATCTCTAATAATTCAGATAGAATCTATGGTTGGCATGTTGGTGATACAGTAGTGTGCTGTCCTACTTGTAACTTACCATTCTTGGATAAGGTAATTTCTTTGGATAAGTTATTTCATTTTTCCACAAGTGGTAAATACTTACTTTCATATGACGCGGTACTTAGAAATGACCTACCAAAATCTAATTTGTTTCAAAAGTATAACCGCACTTACCATTTACTGTGAAAATCTTGACCAAAGTCTCTTACTTTGAGAACCATTCTAGTTAGTGTTACTGCATTCCGTTGACCTTGTTTCGACTTCTTGATATTAGTCTGTTAGTTTTTGTATAGTAGTAAGTGCGATTCTCTTACACCATATATTTCACACATTTTGCTTAAGGACCACCTTACAAAGCGTAGTTATAGGGAAAATAAGGGAGTCTGATTAAACGGCCTGTCACCAGTTCCTGTCAAGGATAGAGATAACGTACGAATAAGAAAATGAACTAGTTGTCTAAAGGGTTTAATAAATGGAGTCTCCTGTCACTTCTCTCATTTTAATTTTGTCTCAATGGCCCATATTTATGCTAATATAACGAATCTCCTTTCACTTGTTTCTAACGTTGTTATTTCATCCTATGTAACTCATCAAAGTATTTCTCACTGCAAAATGCTTTTGTTTTTAAATAAACAATAAAAAACACGAAATTCCGGCTTGTCTTCATAAAACGAATATCTAAGACCATCGTAGTGAGTCACATAATAGTCACTAGTTCTATCCAGCTAACTTGACATATGAATTCGTGAAACAACGTTCTATTATTATCGACATGGGATTGCAATGAGCTGTATAAACTCCTTATAACGCCTACATGAAAATCTTCCAACTTTCTTGCAGACAAATTCTTTTCTGGTCAAGCATCTTGTAACTAACTCTACGTATACTTTTGTTATTTGACGTTGCCAATTGTTCACTTGTAATCTTTAGTGTGTTTATATCTATCCTTTTTACTTATTTTATACGTTTTATTTTCACATATATATGTCATCCATACTTTTGAGTAGTCTGCTTGAAGGCCTCTTCTTACTTTCCATGTGGCTGCGTTAAGTAATACATGGAATAATTCCTTCCAGAATATTTTGTATTTGTATTTTTTTTACCACAATAGCTCAAGGATATTAGCTTAAGTATTATGTGAAAAATTAATTGAGGAGTTAGAGTTCATTACGGTTCGTTATCATAGAGTCAATGCGATGCCTTAAGTCATAGATTGTCACTCTATGTTTTTAGTAAATTCATTGTGTTAAAAGCAAATTCTGTCACGTAAAGGCAATGGGTTAATCATCGTTATTCGCTATATTAATGTATCTTTTACCCACTATGAACTACGTAAACGTTTTTCTTAATTTTCGACTTAATATATAGGACGTATGTTGTGTAAGTAATTTTATTGTTTTCACTCAAGTAGTTAGCATCTAATTTAGATCCCTCTACTAATGATTGTTAATTTTTCAACTAGGTCCACGTGAACTGGTACCCGACTGTATGTAGTTCAAATAGTCATTACAATGTCCATATAATTTCTGATTAAATATTTTGTGTTACTACTCGAATCTTTATTACCAACGATTTATATTCAACCAAATCATATTTCAATCGACACTTAAAATGAGTATGAAAGTTACTAAAACATCGTGTGAGAGAACTGGATTTTGTTAATTTACTGTTGGTCCATCATATATTAAGTAGAGCAACACTGCAGGGCTGCTAATTGAATGTTCATGCATGAATGAGTTAATCATATTATTTATTTGTCCATAAAATGATAGAACGCAGATACCGCATTGTTTTTGTGTTTACTTTTAAACTGTATCATATGAAACAAAGAGGTCTTTGAGGAAATTTGAAAAGTTTTATTTCTAAGACAGTGAAGTACATTTTTGGTTGTATTGAAACAATTTATGCACATGCAAATTGAATTTATTTCTGTAAAAGATGATTACTCCAAAATTTTCTATTCAGTGTTAATAATCATTTCTAAGGAAAGTGTTATCCTCTGGAGTTCCATTAGTTTGGCTACTGTCTAGTTATTATTTATTTATTTTTTTACATTAGTTGATCAACTGTTTAACCACGTTCTAATTTGATTGCTTTCGTTTTTTCCAGATTATGTGTGCATATCACCACTGCTTACAACATACTGAAAACCAGTCTCTCTTTACTTACGGGAAGGTGTTGATTGTAAGAGTTTTAAAAATTCAAGAACCACTAGTATGTCCTGGTTGCCAACAATATTTTCATACATTAGATAAAATTATGAATCACTGGATTACTTCATCTAGTTGTAATTCACCGTTTATGCCAATTTCAAACAATAAGGATTGTATAGATGCTCTTTGTGTTCTCTCTGTATCATGTAGCATCTGTCAACGTAGTTTTACAGCAGTTCCATCGTTGGAAATAGAAGCTGATCATCCTGGTCAGAAGAGAAAACATCCGTCAAACAGAGAAAATACCTACAGGTCACCAGCTTCTTGGGCAAAAGATTTTGGTCATTTTTGTATTCGTCATGCCTTTGAACATATAAATCAGGGTAGATTTCCCTTGTGTAGCTTGAAAATACGGATTATAAGTGTACCGAAATCTGTTAACTGTCTTCCTCCCATCACTAGTACAAATAATTCAAGCAGATTGCATTTTAACCTCAGCGAATGTAAACGTCTTATTTCATATCTTGAAAATCATGAATGGAATTCCTATTTACTTAAACAGGCTCAGAAAAGCTTTAGAGATTTATTTTTCGACGCTGTTTCCTATGTCTCATAAATAAGTTTTTTTCATATCTCCTCCAAGTAACTTCTTATTTCAAAATGAGCATTTATATTGTTCTTATCCGTATCTTGTGTAATGATAATAATCTGTAGTTAATTTAATTTTTCCTCTTTAAGTTTGTCTTTATGGATAGAAACTGTACCGGATACGAGCAGATTTATGTACCATTATATGTTGTGTTTATCTACTTTGAAGGAAACATTTATTGTGGTCGTTTGTTTCTGATGACTCTATCACTAATCTTCGTATTATCTTGTAGCCTCCAAACCTGTTTCACACATTTTATGACTATTTTCTAAGAGACAATGTTGTAGACTTCTTATTCACAAGCTCTAAATTGCTGCTGTGGCTCTTTTATCTAATGGTTTGTTTCTTGACTTTTCGTGCCAAATCCACTAATTAATTTAATTATAATATAAAACGCTGTGTATTACCATATCATCTTACAGTGTTAAAATAATTGAATCTCATGAAATTATCCTATAACTAAGGATGCATAGAAGGCTTTATCCATTTGATTAAATAATTAGGTTTTAAAAACTACGTTCGGAGATTTGATTTTCGTCTTTGTGATATTTGGATATCTAACTTTCTTGCCTTTGAATATCATAGTTGCGATAATATAAGTGGCTAGTGTAACACAACCCTACTCTCTGTTCACATCCTAGTTTTTTTCGTTCGAACTATATCCCTAACACTTGAGTTTTACATTGAGTCTGCTAAACAATAGTAGGACATCAAACATCTAATCTACTTTTTATTGATCCAAGTACTTGAAATTGCAGAGTGGTGATAAGACGACTGTCAAAACTCGTTAGATTTGTTAAGTACTCAGTTAAATTGTCAGTGTCTGCTGAAACATATGGTTTAGATAATTTCATTGGAATCATAAACCGATTAATGTTATGTCATTATTGAAAACCTGGGAGCACTAAACGACCGTTTCACCCTAGTATGGGGCTCCTCAACAGCGCTCATTTGCGATCCCCCACTCTGCATTCGAACCTAAGCCCTTCGGCCTCGCGAACGCTTAACCTTTACATCACGGAGTCGGCATCTAATGGCGTTACTGTCTATCTTAAACCAATCGAAGATGTTGCACGATCATCTGCCATTGTTGATTTCAATGAAATCCAATAATCTCCACAACTGCAAAGTGAAGATTTCGTTAATATTTGATAACTTTATAATGTAGTGATTTTCCATAAATTTCAAGGCGCTCTCGATTATATGTATGTATAACTGCCGTGTCGACCATTTAAATTACTGAACTCATCGGTTACGAGAAAGTGGTACTATCCAACATTTGTTTTTGTTAAGGGAAATTTTTTGTACAAGACGACAATGTTTCTGATATTTTTGGGACGGGTTTACGCTGTTGTATACAACTTTAGTGTGGTGTTTGAATGAACTAATGGTACCTTTGTACTTGTTGAATGCTCAATTTCGAATTCTAAATACAATACATTCGTTTGTGCTTGTGTCGTAGTTCTTGATTCAGTTGCGTTAATTCTGGGATTCCTAGTTCATACGATAATTCAAATACTTTCAAATATTACATTTAGTTATTTATTTTTATTGCTCTTTTGTAATATCCTAAATTTCTGGCATTCTTCTATTATTTGTTACTTTTTCCTACGGTATACAACTGGTCATCGATTTAATTATTTCCAAATATTGCAAGGATGAAGATTTAAGCAGAATAATATGAATTCGTTTGGTTCTTGTCAGCTGTTCACAACCCACATCATCTTAAATTCGACATCATGAAAGTTAGCATATCTAGACTTAAATATGTATAACCGTGATGGAGTTAGGTGGTGTAGCGGTGTTTAGGTCTTCAACTTTCATTTGTTAAACCAAGATAAGTTATACTACCTGGCTTCTAATACAAAATTATTGCAGTCGAGCTCATAACTCGAACTTAATAATGGAAGTCGTTTCCTAAAACACCAGCAAGGATCCAACTACTTAAAAGGTTTTCGAACTGCTGTTGAGTGCCTCTCTACCGCAGATATATATATCAAGAGATACTCTACGTCACATTAGTTTTTTGCTGTAAATCACAGGCTCATTCACTCAATCTTTCTTTAAATTCTGAACGTAGTGATTGATGCCTAACAGTAGGTTCAAATAAAAATTACAGCCAGAGCGGAATTCGCAGCACAATATGGTTTTTCAAATAGAAAAATACATAATATGACAAATTAAATGAATACATGAACGTAAATATGACCGTTATTCAGCTTGTGGATACATAGGTTTACTTGACAAGGTTGAATGTAAATTCACTCATGCAGAATTCTTGTGTTTCAAAATTTCGGATACAGTCATACCGATAAAACATGACTGAAAACCATTTAGATATCGCACTCAGTCAAGGTTGACAAATAAACATTTGTTCTTCCCTGTGAATCCTTTCGCTCACTACCACCTGTAAATACAATCGAATCTTTATCAAGTTGTTCTTGTAACGCTTTCAATAAAAAAACTTTAGAAGGAGGGACCTATTATTTTACTATATTCATGTTGTACACATTCAATCAGAATAAAGCAAGTTGGAACTGACTATATCAACTGCAGACTATCAGGAACAAAGTAAAAACGTAGACTCGACTGTGACTATCAACACGGGAAACACTGTGGGTTGGTCACTTGTCCATTCACATAAGATTTATTCAAACAAATAGGACAAGAAAGTTCACAAGTTTCGAACCGAAAGTACAAACAAGCTACACAGAACACTGATAGCTCATAGAGTAAAATGAATAGGGTGAGTGAACCAAGTAATGCTAATAATATTCATTTAAAAGGAATATCTAAAACATGGGTATTCTCTGCAATTAGAGACCAAGGGGAGGGATTTGTTTGCTCCACAATGACAAAACACAGGGATGGAGCAGCTTGTGTCCACGATTATATACGTCTCATCAGCAAACGCAAATATCTAAGTATCAAGTCACAATTAGTGGATTGGCTTACTTTATATCTAGATAGTAGATAAATTTCGTTCGTTCCAGGGGTACCGATTGTTATTGTGGGGTATCTTATGGTTCAGTATTAGGACCTCTTCTTCCCTTAATTCATATAAATGACTATCTTTGGAAAGTGTCATCTGGTTTGTTGCTTTCCGCCAACGATTTGAAACTTGGGAGAGAAGTTGGCAACCGAGTTGAAAAATTGGCATTTTAGGAGGATCGTGCTCGGATTCAAAGTTGAGCGAATAATAATGAACTTGCTTTTAACATTTCGGATTGCAATGTGGTCCAACTGAGATACGTTGCAGACTATGTTCATGTTTGGAGGCATCTCGAATTGTAAGGGATCTAGGAATATCGGCACTGTGTGATCTGAAATCTAATGCTAATTGCGGCAAAAATACCTTCCGAACAAACTTTGTATTGGTGAACATGAGGCTCATTTTTGCCCAGTTCAACGGTAGGACTTTCGATGTAATCTTTAATAACCTAGTTTGACCCCTTTTAGAGTATGGAAATATAGTGTTTCCTCCCTCACTCCAAGAGAGAAATAAATCACTGAAGCATACTTTAATATGAGCCATGAAATCAGTTTGTGGACTCAAATTTAAGACATTTGAAGTGAGCCTCGAATCACTGTATCTCTACCTATAAGAACATAGATTACATTGTATTCTAAATGCAATTCACAGCGGAACCACTCAGACTATGAGCACATTCTTTACTCGTCACAATTATTCGAATTCTGGAATTCGATGACGTTTGATGTGGTTTGTTGGACATTTTGGGAGTCGTTTGCTAGGAAATGAGACATATTTTTATGGAAAGAGGAAGATTCGTCACTGCGATTTGCTAATATTTTTCGAATTAAAGTTGGGTATATCTAGATTACCACCTGGAGGTATCGGCTATCCACTGCTACTAGATACGAAGGGATGTTCATTAAAAGCTTCTTCTGTTCCGTCCAGAATTGTTCGAACGTTTCGGACTGATTTAAAAGTTATTGAAGGACGTGTAGTTTTAACGTTCCTAACCACACAATTTTCAAGGCTGAACATGAAATAACTGGGAAAATAGAATTTTGACATGTAACACTGACAGAAAAAAAGAGTAATGAACGCGGGAGCATTAGTAAAATCTCATGGCATGGCTCAGCTTTGCAGGAGTAGTCATTCTTGTGTCGCCTATCCATTTTAATCTTATTAAATATATTGTTCTATCTACGGCCTAAAAGTGTTATGCAGAAACACTAAACGTACCATGCGACGAGTCAGTGTAGACAACGATGGAACTTCTGCATATGATCTTTGGATTAAGTTTTAACATCATGACATACCTACAATACTAGGATTAGGTCCCTTACTATAATACCATTAATAACGGAGCAGGCCACAATTGTACTACATCTATATAGCCTCTTGCTACCTCTCAAACCATAATGAAAACTATTGCTCCTCAGGTTATTTAAAAACTAAGATAAAGTTCAAATCAAGATATTCATGGCGTATCAACAATAGTGTCACGACTAATAACCAACCATATATGTAGCAGCAGATAAATCTGGAAAACAAAAAGTTCATTATGTCTTCGAAATTGATGTTGACGTCATTAGTTTTAGTGGAAACATCTTATCTGAACGCGCACAGCCACGCATCCACTCCAGGTAACAAGTAGATATTTCGTGTCAAGCCCTACTCGCAACTGGCAGCAATCTTAAATTAAACGCTTCTAGACATATCGATGCCTTTCAGATAAAACTTCGAACCCCTTCATTTCTGACTTTACATCTGACTGCGTTGGTACACTATGATTACCTATTTTTTTTACGTTTAAATGAGTTATAAAACTTTGGATCTCTGTGGTATCTTTAGACATGTAACGAGTAAATTACTAGGATGTTCGGTGGGTGTGGCCCACGGCCTAATTTTTTCACACTTGTAAATTTATAGTTTCAGAGTTCAAGTGCACACATCAACATGTTATTTTAACGATACACATACTCATCTAACGTCCTTCGGTTCCAAGTCAATGAATAGAATTATAAATATGCATATGCGTTCAGTAAAAAGTTGTTTTTGATCCATAAATCTAGTTAAATTATCGGAATAATCTCATTTCCAGACATGCTCCTCATAATCTAAGGTTAAGTACAAAGACAGGTTCGAATAGTTGGAGAAGTATATTCAGATAAATACTACGGAGCAGAATATCTGTTGAGCAAGGTTTGGGATGTAAGCTGATTGAGAAACGAATAAACTCTTTTGCAGTCATGTTCTAAAATCTTTTGGGCTTCTCATAAACCTTCTATTTTTTGTTCTCACAAATATTTTATTCTATTCATCTATCGAACGTATCTACATTTAGGTGCGAAGATAATAAAACGCAAACACGGAAAGCTTTCGCTAATGATATGCCATTCCTGGAAAACAACTGCTAAAATATTATCAACAGTTTACTTCGGCGAGGTCTCATTTTGAAACCAAAGAACAGAATGAGAAACACTAATACGACTAAGGTTGTGAGGATATATAAAAACTCTACTATCCCGTGATGCATGATCCTGAACGCTTTATTGGAATTTCAACAGATGCCTTGTCAAGGAAACATGTAGAGAACTAAGATGATTTTCTTTAATTGGCATTATCAAATTACGAATAATTGGACATCCGATTTTGTTTTAGTTCTTAAATCATAAAATTTATCAAAACTCAAAACTGTAATTTATTTACGCACACTTCAGCTATGTATTGCTTAATTCTATGCAAAGAGACTTTCGGATCGGGGAACTTGAGTACTGCTTTATACATAAGGTAATTAAGATCTAATTTTCTGCTTACTATATATATGTTTTAGGGAGATCTTCGAGCTATATTTAGAAGCTGAATTCATAAAAATTGTTAACATCAACTGTGAAAGTTCTTTGAAAGACATAGACAACTTTAATCGATCAACTGCAAACCCCAAATTAGTGATTGCCCTTCATTTACGTCAATGCTCACATCTTGTCAGTCGTAAGTTTCTCTTGTTTTTTCAATTATGATCATAATTCGCATTACTATGTAGGCTTAAAATCTAGTAATATACAAAGTGTGACGCAATATATAATGTGAAAAAGTATTTTTGCATTGTGTAAAGACTTGTGAACCATGAAAGGCCTTTGCAATCGGTTCACCGTCTACACTGTTACAATCTGTCACTTGTCTTCCTAGTACCGTTTAGTATTTAGAAAGTTTCTGTATACTTTATAAATGAATGACACACTTTGGTCTATGATTCTTCTGAATAGTTGCTTGACATTATAAAAAGCTGAAAGCTATTTAGTTTACTTGTGTATTCCATCTATTTAGAGTATTTCCATTCATTTGATAAAAAAGTCTCTAAATATGTGGAATGTTTTCACTAGTCTTACCTATAGAAATCTTTTGAACAATAAGACGTTTGTAAGCTGAATATACAGAAACTCTTACTGTCTACCAGTCATGAATAAATGATTTATCTTAAAAGATCCTTCAAGCAATTATCAGTCTGATGTGAAATAATTGGTTCCGAACTTTCATAGTCTCTTTATATGAAGCTATATGTTTCTCATTTTAAGACGGAGATGAGCAAAAGTCACTTTGGATTCAAAATCATTATTTGGCATTTTGAAGTTGTTACTTAGATCACTTGGCAACATTCGTATCAAAATTGAAAAGACTCTTTTGTCTTGGTTTACTTGTATAATACTTTATGTATTTACGAATCCAACTTTGTTACCACTGCTTAAATCCTCTTCTGTAGTTGGAGTCTTTGTAACGGCCATCATTTAGTCAAATGAAATAGTACGACATACTCACGATGGTTTAATCGTCTACTTAATATTCAGATAGCTATTCTATCATTTATATTTCCTTAAACACTTTTCAGCCGTTTTAGAACGTCATATAGGCGCTATTTATGCCTTAAATGCAACTTGAATATAATGTCCTTCAAATCGTAATCATGAGTTATCCTAACTTACGATGACTTTGTGAGAGACTTCACCAAGTTCCAAAATTTTTCTGACCAAACACAGAGATCTTGTTGGCATCCTTATTTCTGAGTAATAAGTCACTGTATGAAGACGATCAACGAACGAGATTCTATGTCCAAATTAATCAAATCACATACGCATTTATGTTGGATTCGTTTACACCACAGATCATTACCAGATATGACTTTAAGCTTATTCTGAGACAATGAAATTTTCTATCAAAATTGTCCTATGAATGGTCATTTTGACTGGGGAAATAAAAAATCAATAAGCCGTCGAAAATGCTTGTTAATCGTGCGTCTTAATGGTTGTAGAAGGTATGAGAGCAATTTTTTGAGGGTATTTAAAGCCTATAGATTATTGCTATATTTACGTAACTAATAGCAAATAAGTGAAACGTAGTACGCAATAAACGTTTTTTGAGGTGGAGTAGTTGCCGATGACTTTATTGAGTATAAAATTATTAGTCAAATTTATGTTCAAACAATCCAAAAATGGTTGACAAACCTACCTTGAGAAGCAGTCTAGAACCTGAGCACTTCCATAAATTAGACTAAAATGTCAACACCGTCTTATATTAATTAAAAAATGGAACGAATAATACTTGATTGAGTGTTATACATTGCTTTTTCAACAAGCTATAATAATATTGTCCAATCGAACTTGTCTATCAAACTCAGAAGTTTTAAATTTTCTCAATATTGCATTGTTTGCGTTTAATATTAGACAGTAACCAAGTGATTATTGGTTCATTAAGTTTCTAACAGTTAGTAAACCAGAGCATTAAAATTTAGAAAAAGGCCGAAATTAGTAGTGCTGTTTATTTTGCACTTGTAAACTCATCATGCATACTTCGGATGACGGGTAAAAGATTCGCCAATAAAAATCTCATTTTTACTGAAAATCTAGATTCTTTTATTTATTACTTTACATTTCTTTCATTCACTCTGAACCGTCCTATAAATGTTTTGATATCATATTCCATAAGGTTGTTAGGAAACTAATAAACATCTTAGACCGTGGAGATACGATATTTACTTATTGCTTTGATAATTTCTATGCTAAAGTTTGATGCTGCTTACAAGACATGTATTTTTCGTGTGAATTCAACCTACTCATAGATCAGTTGAAAAGTTATCCGCGAGACAACCTTAAAAATTTCCCATCAAGCATTTTCTGAATACAGAATGTTTTCATCAAAACACACTCAAGATCGCTTTGACTTACTTGGTCGTTAAGTAGTGCCGTTGCATTCTCGCATCTCATTTTTCAATCTCATGAAAATTTGATTAACCACGGAGTAGTGGTCAGTATCATGTTCTAGTTTTTTAGGGCTGAATAAATGTAATTGACGTTGTTGCAATGTGTTCACTAGCCTAAGTAACTTGCAGTGGAATATATTTAAATGTTAATTGATTAGTGACCGTCGACAGGAAACAGTATGCATAGGTTTTAGTCAGTCATGCCTCGAATAACTTAATGGTAACATTTCAGATTGTGAAGATGTTTGAGCAACTTTGAGTCTGCTATTGAGCATCAGCTCTCACAAAGTTAGAGATACTCGCTGCTGAAGACGAGTTCTAGTCGCATCGCGATTTCTATCGGTTTTAACCATAATGCATAAAACCATTTAAGCTTTAAATAACCACTAAACTTTTGTCAACCATGACGAACCTAAATTCTTTGCAAAAAAATAAGTATGTTTAAAAGGATACTGCATTTGTAAAATCTGGATTTTATACAATAGGTTCAGTTATTATTAGGTTCTGTAGAAACTTTTAATTAAAATCAATTCTTGAAGAAGAGCAAAAATATAGGTTGATTTTGATCTTTTCTAAACTATAATTTAGCGTTACATTTCAGGTAACATGTATAAAGTACCTATTTTGTAATCTGACTTTGAAAATGTAAAAACACCACTAAATTATTTCGTGGTTTTGAGTGCCTCTGTAGCAAAGTTTATTATTTTGGAAAACTCATCATTGGTGTTTCTTGTTTTCAAGCTTACGCTAGTTGTTGAATATTATTTGTGAATGCTGGAAAATGGCAAATGTTTACCTTACTTGTGGTTAATTTTTATATTGAAGATGCAAGAATAATCAAAATCATTATTTATATATATTTCGTAATTTACTTACCTTTTTCATTGTTTTGAAGTGCTAGACAAAAGTATACCTGTTCTTGCAATGTGCACTGGGTCTGACATAAATATGGATAGAACTCATGCGGTATATTTAAAGCTGATGACATATTTAGTTGACCGAAGTTTGTAAGTATAATTTCTCTGCATGCGTTATCCGTTTAACTGATTTTCCACCTTAGTGCAGTTGTTTTACTTAACCGACCAATGTTGAAGCAGTTTAAAGAAACTTGGGTAAGTAAATAAGTTGCTATTATTTGACAGTAACACAGTTTATTAAAAAACCGGTTCGTACAAGTTATAGAATAACATCATCTTGACATATTAAATAAAGTTTATGTATATATTCGTAAGGAAGAAACGTGTTTTGTTTGCCCTTAAGTGCCTTGACAACATTTCCGATTTCAGTTGTTAGTTACTTTTGGAAAAAGGTAAATTATTAAGTTTGGTATATATGGTACTATTTAATAGAAACAATTTTGATGTATAATTGGTTATTTTGTCATCCATTGTTTACATATATTAGAAGAAAGATTGTTCCAAACATTAAACCATTTATAACACAAGATCCCACAAATAAATATAGCATTGGTTTGTTACGAAATACATTGGAGATATGATGCAAAGTGATTCCATATTGATAACTCAATTTATTTTTTCGAACAGTTGACCTGAAATTTCAAGAGTTTATTAATTTTTATTCATCAAAAGTCAATATTTTTGGGCGCCATAAAGCCACTTATAAAATCGCCGAGCAGGTTTTTACTTGAAATGATATTTAATAAGTTTTACTTCGAAAATACAATTTCTTGAACATATTTGATATTTAGTATACACCACCTGTTTAACAGGTTTGAATAATTTGATCAAAATACCGAATAAAGGCGATCTCAGCAACTGTGATAACTACAGGGGCATCACTCTTCTCTCAATACCGGGAGAAGTCTCCAACAGCGTATTGTTAAACAGGATGAAGGACTGCGTAGACGCCCAACTTCGTGACCAGCAGGTAGGATTCCGTAAAAATAGATCGTGTACAGACCAAATCGCAACTCTACGGATCATTGTGGAACAATCAATTGAATGGAATTCATCACCCTACATCAACTTCATTGACTACGAACAAGCATTTGACAGCGTGGACAGAACAACACTATGGAAGCTTCTTCGATACTACGGCGTGCCTCAGAAGATAGTCAATATCATACGGAATTCCTATGCTGGATTAAACTGCAAAATCGTGCATGGAGGAAAATTGACAAAGTCGTTCGAAGTAAAGACCGGTGTCAGGCAATGTTGCTTACTCTCACCCTTTCTCTTTCTCCTGGTGATCGACTGGATCATGAAGACGTCAACGTCTGAAGGGAAGCACGGCATACAATAGACATCTAGGATGCAGTTGGACGATCTAGACTTCGCAGATGATCTGGCCCTTCTATCCCAATCGCAGCAACAAATGCAGCAGAAGACGACCAGTGAAGCAGCGGCCGCAGCAGCAGTAGGTCTCAATATACACAAAGGGAAAAGCAGGATTCTCCGCTACATCACAGCATGCACCAATCCAATCAAAATTGACGGAGACGATTTGGAAGATGCAAAAACCTTTACATATCTGGGCAGCATCATTGAAGAACACGGTGGATCTGATGCAGATGTGAAAGCGCGGATCGGTAAAGCAAGAGCAGCATATTTACAACTGAGGAACATCTGGAACTCAAAGCAACTATCAACCAACACCAAGGTCAGGATTTTCAATACAAATGTCAAAACAGTTCTACTGTATGGGGAGGAAACCTGGAGAACAACGTACTGTGGGAGAGAACAAACCAGATCCCAGTGGAGAAAGAAATCAGGAAGAAGCGCTGGAAGTGGATAGGACACACATTGAGGAAAGCACCCAACTGCGTCACAAGACAAGCCCTCACATGGAATCCTGAAGGCCAAAGGAAAAGAGGAAGACCAAAGAACACATTACGCCGGGAAACGGATATGGACATGAGAAAAATGAACAAGAATTGGATGGAACTAGAAAAGAAGGCCCAGGACAAAGTGAGTTGGAGAATGCTGGTCGGCGGCCTATGCTCCATTAGGAGTAACAGGCGTAAATAAGTAAGTAAGTAACTGTTTAACAGCGCAGAACCTCCATCTTAGGGAGGCAATTTTTAGCAATAAAACTGAATTCCCAATCTCAATGTATCTTACCTCAGTCCTGTTTTATTTTAACCAAGGACGTCTCAGGACACTTGATTTTTACGACGAGATTCAGTAAAGTGATAACCATTCAAATCCTTCGTAGACTAAAGTTCTCAGCTGGCTTCTTCTCTCTTGATTTCCTTCAGTGTGGGGTTGAAGAATTTGCATACATATTTACTTGGTAGTAACTGTGTGCTGGATGAACTCGCTAATATGTACATCAATTGTGAATAACTTATCCATGATACCTGATGATTCTGTTCCAATGAACAATTTTAGTCCCAAAAATCCAACTTGCTTGGGTTGTAAATGCAAATCTGAGAGTTATGTTAATACATTATCATAGCTATAACAAATGAGTCATCCCCTAAGAGCCATTAGTAATTATTACGGTATTACGGTGTTGTATACCAAACAAAGAATCTATCACTAAATTCGATTTCATCACAACGACCAATATTTCGTATTAAGAATGACATATGTCATTGGGGCAAGTTAAATATACTAAGTTTATCAACTTTACAGTTTACGAAGTGCCATATTTAATGTCACAACGCATCAACTTGATTCTGTTTAGCGACTTCGCGTTTTTATTGACATTCTGTTTCGTAACTATCTATCCTCCTTTGCCGTTATACCTGCGATGATTCGTTTGGCTCACACTTACCTTGGCCAATATTGCGTACTTCTACAAAACATCTTATTTTACACTACTTATGTTCATGTTATTGAGATCAATTTAACTGATAATCTAGCATTATAATAATTATTTTCTATGTAATTTCTCAATACTTCTATATCTTAAAAGCTATAAGTGAGAAAAATCAACAACCCGATCATTTCACTTTGTATCAGTTAGTACAGTTTATGTTCACTTTTAGCACTGAATACCACTTTCTTCACGAACAAATATAATGTTACTCATATGATAAGCAGTTTGATTTTACAATATACTTCAAGCATGTCATCCTTAGTTAGTTTAGACTAATTATTAACTCGTCAGAGTTAATATAATCTTCTCAAATAATATAAAACTGAAGGAAATAACTGATATAGCTTAATTTTAATTTATCAGTATTGTAACTTACATTCTACTCGTGTTCAAAGCTGAACCAAGAATTATATGTAAATGTAACTAAACTTCTCAACGAAATTCGATGAATCATTCGGTATCCAGAAACTAAATATTTTTAAGTTACTATTTTTATCTTTTCAAATTCCTGGAAACATTGCATAAATATAATACAGCGTTATTCTATCCTCACCCTGATCATTTTTTTGTTTGCTCTAATATTGCCGAAATTTTTGAATGTTTGTGTTAAAATTTGATTAGATACTCGTAAATGCAATTAGATATTCAGCAGCTCATATGTCATAGACATAATAAATGTTACTATATTCTTAATCAATTCGAAATATAAATAAACAGCATATAGAACTTATCACACGTTTACAGATATGTATTTTTTTATAATTTACATTAAAAAATCTCTCCATTTTTTCCTTCTTAAACAAAATGTTTAGCCTCATTATCCTGGTCAGCTGCAAGTCATACACCAAGGTAAGCATATGCCTATATATATATATATATATATATATATATATATATATATATATATATATATATATATATATATATATATATATATATATATATATATATAGAGAGAGAGAGAGAGAGAGAGAGAGAACGCTCGATTTTGCCTGATGATTGCTATCATTTACCTGGTTAATGTGTTCAAAAAACTGACTTCTAACGCTGAATTTACAGTATAGGGTTGTGGAGATTATTAAGTTATTGATTGAGATCATGAACCGATTGATGTTAGACCTTCATTGAAAACCTGGAAGCATTGAACGGCCGTTCCATCCTATTGTGGGACTCCTCAGTAGTGCGCTTTGTGAGAAAATTCTCGGAGTTCTAGTGAGAAGCCGTGACCAGTGAATCTAATCCGTGTCGAGTAGAGACAGGTATCTACTTCAGTACAATGGAAGATGGTCGTGCAATCTCGTGGATTGGTTGACGCTAGACATTAGCACCGTTAAATACCTGCTCAGTGATTTAGTAGGTTAAGCGTTCGCGCGCGAGACCGGAGGCCCCGGGTTCGAATCCCACGAGTGGTATCGTGGATGAGCGCTGCTGACGAGTCCCACAATAGGACGATACGGCCACCCAGTGCTTCCAGGTTTTCAATGGTGGTCCAACATCAATCGGTTCATGATCTCAATCAATAACTGAATTTACACTTTAAATTATTTTGAGCTGTCTTTTTGCGGTCATTTTGTTTTTATTTCCGCTCAACAGCCTAACTGTTATTATCACTAGTCAACATTATGTTCATTGTTAAATGAATAGAGAACATACTTCTTCAATCATTTTATGTTGTCACTTTTAAAGCTGACTAAGGAAACTTCATATAAGCGTTAGTTACCAATCTAATTAATGTCAGAATACAACCACTGTATGTAAATTAGTTGTGCTAAATTTGTTTTAGTTAGTCAGCTCATTCTCACCTCGAACCGTGAGGCTCGAATGCACACGATGAGTAGGTAGATCTTAAAAACTAATGTCAAATTAAATGTAAGCGACTATTTGAATAGTGTTATTGATCAGATGTTTCTGTTATGTGATATCTTCATAAAATTACAGTGGTTCATGATTCATTTTCATGATCTACCTCGCTTAATAATGTTGGTAATGTGAAATAGCTAATTAACAACAAGCATAAAATACAAATTTGGATTATAGTAGAATATATTCCGACAATTAAATATTTAATTGAATTTACATAAATTGATTTTGTCAACTGAAGTTACGAATCGTGTCGTTAATTTTCACATATGAATAAAGCGGAAGTTTATGGATTTAAGAATGAGATAAACAATCAAATATTCATGATCTAACATACAGCATATGTTCATCACTCTATCGACAAGAATTATTAAGGACTTTATGACAGATGTTTACCCAAACATATTTGGATTTATCTATGGCACCGTTCCCAGTTTATATTCGTTCTTTAAGGATTTACAGACAAAAAGTTTTGTGAATTATTTAATTTTCATGTAAACAAGGAATCTTGATTTTTAACAAAGTGATATGCATAATAAACCCTATCCTGAATATCATATAGTGTTTATCGTGTTAAACGAGACGAATTAATAATAAACTCAGTGTTGATATATAATAAGTGTTGGCTCCATGATTTAAACACTGTCGATCATTGCGCTAATTTTAAAAACAGTTTTTAACATGAATATTTTTGAAAACCGATTAAGACAAGCAAAAATAGAAACTAGTATATAGTACTTTGTTTTTCTGTGTTGTTAAAATATTGTCGGTATGGATTAAAACGTGATATGCCATAAAAAATTCCTCTCTTTGTGAGAAAATTTTCGAAGTTTATGAGCTTCAGACTTTGACACTTGTCTAAAGAAATATCACTAATTATTTATTTACTGCTGAATAATCAAACACCGCACACGTTTTCAAGAAAATCATGTTTCTTCAGGGTATTACAACTGTTATACCTATAATTTTTTTGAAGATGATGTTAGAAGAAAAGCTTAATGATTAGTTAATCACGAATTGTATTGTTAACCATTTGTTAGATATGTAATCAAAATAAAATTTATCTACTGCTATTACTTAACCCTATATATGCACAAATGAACAAATATGCAGTTATAATTGTCAGAAGCACTGTATAAAAGTAGTTTGTACTTCGTAAATATAAAAATCCACATTTCCTAGCATTCAAATGAAGTAAGAACAACAATGTTCTTGGTTTGTCTAGATTTTTGAGTAAAATTAACTATATGAAATTTCAAGGATCTACTTTGTTATCTTGCATATCGGTCATTTTACCTCATTTGTCGATTATGTTACATTACTTAAAAGATCCCGATCAGTTAGATTTTAGTAGATGAGTTTTATGTTCACTTACAAAATTATCAAAACTTAATTGTTATATTTTCCATACTTCCAAAAACTTTAAGTCTTTGATACCTCTCATATACATAATTTTATTACAATTTCTACTTTAACTCGGTGTGTAGATTAGATACATTTTAATAGTATAATAGACACACTTTTTACTAACTTACGCTGATTAAATTGAAGTACAACTTGCATAACACAGAATGGCAAAATACATAAACAACTTACTTTACTTTGTGTTCTAAATACTTAAACTTTCTTAGAATGTGACATCTTTAAACAAAAATGTATGATATAAAATTTGGTTATTAACACAAAAACTGTCATTATGTTATCTGGATTAGTGATGAAAAAAAACATTTAAGCCTATAGAATCTAATTATCTAGAAAAAATTTTGATCATCAAATGTTAAGAATTCGGAAAGGACCTTATGAACTTTATATATATTAGGTTCGTCTCGAAAGCACAATTTTATTTTTAATTATTTTTGGAAAGATCACTGATAAAATTTGTCTCTTGTCAGCGGCCGGTATTAATTTCATAAAAATATTTATGTAAGAGAATATATGTTGATATCATTTAATTGTATACTCTGCTGTGTAAACTTATTTTAAGCTCATTAGCTTACTTGCGCTTTCAATGTTAAGATTTCAGACGTTACTTAGAAGATACTACCATCCTATCTAAGTATGTGTGGTATATGTATGTTGCTTAAAAATCAGACATTAATGGTAAAAGTTTGATTAACGAAGGCTATTTCCCAGTTATCTTATGATCTCACATGAACATACATTATAAACATGAAACAAATAACAATTTTTATTTATATAGAAGTATTTCATATATGACTACTGATTAATAGTCCTTATTTTACATCCAGTCTCTAATTATTTCAAACTCAGTCAGTACCAAAACTTTATTTGCTAAATTTGTTGGCTTGAAACTGTTAGTCTGTTTTTTGTCAAAGAGCTTAGGTAGTTTAAAATTAATTGAAGAACTGTTATTACTAAACCAATATTTCTTAGTAGATCGACATATTTCAAATAAGTTAGTACTCGGACATACATTTCGATTAATGATTAAAATCAAAGAAATTGAGAAAGAAGATGATGAATATGTCTTCAATTTAGGATATATATTTAAGCAGCAGAATTAAGTTACATCTTTGAAAGACGGCTTACATCATACACTTTATTTCTTTATGATCACAATTATCACCATGTTTGAATTTGAATTTGAAATCAGTGTCGGACTATGTGTAAAAAGAAATATTTTCCTCAGGTAAACCGACAAAAATCATATGTTTACACTTTCTTTGATAGTGTGTATATGTAAAAATATACACCAAAGTGTGCAATTCGCTTTCTGTGAAGTGAAAAATTTATTTGCGTATATACTTGTCAAAATTAGTACGTATTCAGCAAAGAGGCAACTAATAAAACAAGTACTTTAAATGAACCCGACTAAAAAATAAACATTATTGTATGTTTATTTGGGTTTGCTTTTACTTTAAAACTACTTTTAGAACCATAACAACTCTATAAAACACAGCATATTTGTTATTACAACGACATTTTCTATAGAAAACGTGACTTTAGCATAACCTTTTGAGAATCTAAATGTTACAGAATATTCGTAGTGATACCATATTACCTTGGATTATGAGTAATTTGATGCTCTGTTTTTGTATTTATTGCATAAAGCAGATAAAAAGATCCACATAGTTTTTTCTGTATATATTATTAGATTACGTTTTGCATGTAGTAGGTTGGTTTAACTTGTAATTTACTTTAAACTTCATAAAAATTTTTATTGAATTCAAACAGAGTAAAAGACTATTAAATTATTACTTTAATTCTTTCCTTCAGTAATATATAATTTGGTAATAACATTCCCAACTACTTTTTGATGTAAGGTTTTCAGTTTCGTACGCTAGTGGTATTAATTTCAAAAAGGTTAGAAACTGATCACAATTTGCACATCAACAGTACTCACCAATCAGGAAACGGTTTCATATTTTTAACTTTACTTAGTAACAAGGTTACTCATTAGACGTATCCATCGTGAAATTACCCCAGTTTTAATAAATAGAAAAATAAACTAAATGAGAAGTAGTCTCTTAATATATAGTATTTTCTCATGAAAGTTGTATACTATATGTGATTTTCACAAACATTTGAATATTCATCATGGACCTTGCTCATACACTGTGAGGACAATTCATTCAGGTATGCGCTGTCGTAAGTTTATTCACAGGAGTTCTCTTAATCAAAAAATGTAAATTATTACATTCCATAAAGTCTGATATTAAATCGAAAGCAAATTTTACACCAATATCCTATACTAATAGACAATTTTTATCAACTATAAAGTATGAATACTTAAACAGAAAAACACTTTCTTCCTTCTATATTGAACTAAAGCGTACTAAAAAGAAGAATAACCACTGAAATCTATACTCCTTCATTTTCTTTAACCGTTACTTCATGACGCTATCCAGCTGACGTATTACTAGTTAATGGGAATAATTTTTCTTTTACATTAGGGTAATATATCCTTATTGAAATATAATATCTGTCGTATCTTATGACTGAAATATATTTTATCATTCTTCATAATACAATAATAAATGGTCGTTGAAGTATAATAATCTATCGAACAAAATATTGCACACAGAAACACATGTATAACATCTGATGATATTAGTTAGAAGAAACACTTGTACTTTTAATGATAAATGAACAAGAATCAAGTTAAATAGTATATTTTTGATTTCATAGTTATAAACTATTTTGTCAGTTATTTGCTCTATGAATGCTCACAATAATTTATCTTCATTCTTTTAACATATATATATATTGAGAAAAATTTCCTTTATTAGTTTATTTTCTAACGACATTAAAATTGATTACCAGTATTTTTACAAGTGATCAGTTACAGAATTTTTTCGTAAGAATTGAAAAGAATCAAAATGTATGAGGGTTGATAAACCAAAATTTAACACGTATTTATAAATTACATAATGAGAATTTAATTTGTTAGGAATATATATAACCATTATATAGTAGAGACTATTTTTAAAACTTATATCCACTGACAAGTTCCCAAGAGAATCAAATAAATCAGACTAAGAAACATTAGAGTTCTTGTATACATGAATACTTTGTTTTTCTATTGATAATTATTTATCAACTCCAGATATTAACAAAACATTTACTGAGAATGAACGAAATAAATGTGCTTTTTTATTTTTTTAATATAAATATTTAGACGAAATCATCGAGGAACTTGATTTGTTTCATTTATTATAATAAATTCGTCAGATTTACACATTATTTGATACGTTATTTTTTAAGATAATACTCACAAATAGTTATTATTCTACCACCCTTAGCAAATTCAGACTATTAATACTTCAATACTAAGCTATTAAATACACAAAATGTATTTTTATTAGTAAATTAATTTTTATCAAGAAATCATTTGTTCAACTGATTATTAATATTGGTATTAAATTCATGAAAGTTCTGTGTTTATTATGAGAGTTCTGAATGTGTATTGAATAAAAGTTTAAACCTGAGTTTCGTACTATTTAGTAACAGTGATCAACAAAAATCCTTAATAAATTGATACCTCTGATAAAACTCAAATTTATTTTGTCCGGTATGATGAAAATTTAAGCAAAATCACCTGAAATCAAATTTGTTGTACTAGATTTATTCGGTTAAATAACTCATATAGGGAAAATAAAACAACTTAAATCTGATTTTATCTATGTTTAGTTTAATCTTGATATGGACTTTCATATTTTAATCACAGCTTCTATTTGAAAAAATCTCCCTCATGATATATGGTGACCTTGGAACTATTATACAATTAGTTCTTTTTATGAACTTAACTAAACACAAACTTTTGAAATCTAAATATTTACAGTTATCTAATCTTTCCGATGATTAACTTGTAGTGAATATGAAGAAATCTGTGGATTACACATTTTGTAAAAGTGTTTTTGTCTCATATAATCTCATGAATACACTTTTTAAATAACCAATACTTTTATTCCGTAAAGACTTACTCAATTAGTTTCCAGGCTTTAACATCTTGTTTCTTCTCTCTGTTCTTTTACATTGTAGCAATACGGGTTGACGTTGAGGACGCAAATCACTATAAAAAAGACATTCTGACGGCAATCGAATGTAAACTAGGAGTAAATTTGCAACCGTTCTTCATTGTTGCTGGTCTCTTGAGAGATGTGAAAGATCCAATGTTCGCGCTTCAAGCATTCCTAGGTAAATAAACAATTCCTACTATATTTTCACTTACACTCCGTGACTACTTATAAGTAGGTAAATCAAATTTATGATTTCATTATATGTAACTAAGGTTTACTTCTTTCCTTTACTTCGAAGCCGAAATAGTTTTTCAGTTTACGATATTGGCTGTTGATATTAAACTTTCAGTGGCTACCGCTAGTAAAAATTTTATTATTTTAAATTAATTCGTAAGGTCTGTTGAGCTGATATTCCTGACTGAATTTTAATCACTTTCGGCATATTTGAATCCTGTACGGATTACCTCGATATGGCCATTTTGTCACACGTTTTGTTAAAGGAACGAATTGCAGTTGACAGTGCGATCCCGAACGCCCGTATATGAGCCTATTGGATACTGAATTATACAGTGAATGAGTCTCGAGTAGTGTGAAACATACTTCCTGGATTCCACCGCGAACCACAACCCTTTTGTTCTATGGAATATATTTTTGTCTTCCTCGCATCGTAAATCTGTTTCTGCATTGATTATTTACAGTGATAACGAATTTCCTTCGTGAATTGACAAAATTTCCCGGGCCGTGTAATATTTTTCAGAAGAGAACTGTTTTCTTTGACAACTGATAACTCCTATTTAATGACAGAGAACATACGTAAATTAATCTTCCCTGACTAGACTGGAAGATTATGATTAATTTCACACCGCAAATAGGTTTTCAATGATGCTTACCATATAAACTCCAGCCCAGTGGCCTGGAGGTTAAGCGTCTGTAAGCGAAACCAAATGTCCCGAGTTTCAATCCCGTTGTTGGGGTCCTGGGTGCGCACTAAGGTCAACTCGTAACCTCAATGAACATCTCAAGTGAATATCGAAGGATATATACTCATGTTACGTTGATTACTACTTAAATTTTGAGTGACCTACAGTTTGTTCGAATTTATCTTTTACTAACACAGCAGACTATTTATACCTACATAGCTATCGTAGTGTATAACCAAATGCATATTGATTATAAAAATTGTTTTTAAAGTAGAGTCAGGTCTTATCATTTTTTGGACAGTAAGAATCAAAATAAGATGAAGAGGGACTTTTGCGTTAGACATCTAATCCTGAGTAGTTTTCTAATCTATACAATGTTACCGATTGTTTATACAATGGCATTAATTTAATTAGCTAGAATAAACCAGACATGTGTTCCAAAACATATTCAGTTTCTTTCATTTTCTTTGGCTCAAACTATAGTCATTCCTTTCCTTCGTACTGTCAGTACCATACTATATAACTTGAACCTTAATTTCGTTTTTTGTATATGTTTTCCCAATCTCGACCTACGAAGAATCCTAACTGCACATATATAGTATTACTATGTTAGCAGTGTAAAAAATATAGTATTCCCTACAATTTGTATCAGTAACATGATTTAAACTCTGTTAACTATAACTCACTAAACTATCCCACCATTTTTCGTATGACCTTTCAACCTTATAACGGGGCATTTTGCACATATCTAGCACGTAACTGATTCAAGATCGATAGTTGTCAATTTACACCACTGTCGATTCCATTCACATTTGGTATATATATACCCTAGTTTAGAGTGTTCATAAGCCTATACTTGTGAAGTTATTGAAGACAATTGTTTGCTCAGATATCTTCCATTTTGGAAATATTTAAATTATTGGAATGGTTTATCTACTATTCTGGATTTTATTTGATTACTTCTTAAAATATTCTCCTATTTATCAGTCACCAAAACTCTAGTAATACCTAATCATGACTAATTTAATGGCATAATTATATAGAAGTCACTTTCTCCGTACTTCGTTCAAGCATTTTTGTCATCTTTCTTTTTTTTGTTTTCTCAGAATGGAGAAATCAAGATAAAAAAGAGAATAAGGATTCGAAAGTGACTTCAACTATTAATTATAAATCTTATAATCTTTTATATGTTGGATCGGTTGTAAGTTATTCAATACTTGTTGTAATTAATGTGAATATAAAAAATTATAACAAAAATCACCAGCTCAAGTCATTATTTTCTAACTGAAATGTAGATTAACAAATAGTCCATTGTTAAATGTGATTATATGAGACGTTAGGTAACTAGTTTATTGAACTGTTGTGAGATTACCACAAGTAAACTCGGTGGAAGTGTTCAGACTATCGTTTGAATGCGTTAAAATAAGTTTAGGAAATTATGTAATTCTAGATTTATGTTCTTACAATGTCGTATATACAGAAAATATTGATCTATGTCCTACCTGTCACCATATTTTCTACTCAGTATGATATAAATAAGATTTTTTCAGTGTACTGTCTTATTTCTTTTATGCAATAACACATTAATTTGACGGTCATTTTAAATTGACAACAGACATAATATAATGTCTATTTGCTTTGTAACGCATTTCTTATGTCATTCTAAAAATGGGCCGTAAACAAACATTAAGAACTCTGAATTCATATACAGGATTAAAAATGTCATAACTATTTTAAAGAATAATTTAAGTGATTTTATGATGCAATGTGTTACGTCCTTGATCTGTCTACCCACTTTTGGTGCTGAGGCTACTTATCTGATCCAGATTTAAGATCTTGGCGCGATAGGCTGACCGACCTAACGTTGAAGCTTGTACGCGTGAGTTCGAAGTGGGGTAGAGAGAAGAAAACTATTCTATCACCTGATTGGCTGAAAAGCACTCGAATGAGAGAAGACAAGACAAGTGGAACACTACTCGATCTATTCCCGATATCCTGATTTCGGATTCGTGTAAAAAGGTACATGAATAAATAGGTGACTAACCCTACCACAACGTACAATAATTAGGAAAAATACAATTATGTCCAAAGCTGGGAATGAGAGTAGAAAATAGAGTACAAAATATTGTTTAAATTACAATAGCTTCGGAACAGAAAACGGTATGGCAATGATTCATACATCGAACGAAAGCTTATGTTCTGTAGAATAGATTAGGTACAAAAATAAATGTTAGGTTTTACAAGCTTTCAATAAAATAAAATAACGTCCCGAAAAATAGCTTTCGTAGTTTGTCAGAGCTTCCTGTTCCCCTGTTCAATACAATGTATAGAATCTGTTTTATTGATATATGCGGAAACACCGTTTCAAAGGTATCATTGATTAGTTCCCACTATTTGCAATCGAACATCATCATTTTGAAACTAACGTAGGCTAATTTTAGGGTCTAGTTTTGTATTACTGTTGTGACTACTCCGAAAACCACAACGAAACCTTCAGAGGCCCTGAAAGTGCCGAAGTGATCCCGTCCAGTCAGAACATGATAGAACCTTATAAAATATCGACGCGATATGCTATTCTTGGAAAATTGAATAACTTACCTACTTGTGGGTTGGCTGGATTATAATGATGTTATAGTCAATATCCCTGTTTTCCTGTACATTTTTGACTCTTACCTGATGATAACTTCCCTTGATTCATCCGCCTTTTGATTTGAGACTGTGGGGTTATACATATTCGAGTGCCAATAGTTGTATACCGTATTTTTCCGTAATCAAGTAGGGGATGTAATAATTACTGCTTTCAATTAACACTACTCAAGATTCTAATTTAAACCTTGAGGTAAAATATTGATCAAGTCAATATTTCCAGGTATATATTTTATTTGTGATTGGTGGTGATTGTTAGCCAAACACTCAAACTGAAATATGTCTAAATTCTGCTTTGTTTGAATAATTTACAGATTAAAATGGAATTAAGTCAGTGTATTTAACAGTTGTGAACATAATACCTTGATGAATAACCAATCGGTTATTGTGAAGCAATATTTTTCATAGAGAGTTTCTAAATTCCGAATTCATTGTTGCTACTATTAATGACAAAATATTATTCATTTTATTTAGGAGTCTGAAATTTCTCATGTAATCAATAAAAATACAAGAAATGTATCAAAAGACAATCTGGTGATTACTTTAAAATATTGAAGTCGCATAAATTTTTAACTTTGTAGTACTAACTGTAAGAATGAACTTTCTGAACTCGATACCTTAGGTATCAATTAGGATTTACTTAAGTCTGAGTAATAATAACAATACATAGAAGACACAGTTTATAACTATAATATTTAGAACTCTGTAAATAAGTCAATATACATGTTTGTTCAAGTGTATCCCCACCATTAATCACCAATCCAGTAATTTCACTTTTGGAATCAGAGGTAAATTGTGCAACATAAAAGACTACTACAAAGTGACTTTTAGACAGATTAGACATACAAAAGTACTTTACTTCACGTATCACTACTTAGTGCAATAAAATATTTCAAGATGTTTTCTAAAAAATTTAAATAGCTAACAATCTATTGTATGAGTTATTAAAAAACTAACTCTGAAGTGGAATTAAAACTAATAACTTTGTGATAAATACTTATCCCAATACTTTAGTTATGATGTAATTTAGTCACGAAAAACAGGAATGACTTATAATTCTGTGAAACGAGCCTTTTTATAGTGTACAGACAAAGTGAACAAGCTACAATCAATTTCAAACTGGCAAATGAATATACATCGTAGTCTGTCAGAGCAGTTTCTATTTTTTGTAACTCCAGTTAGGAATCTGAATAACTTGAGACTGATCTTCATTGTATAATTTACAGCGGTTACAAATTACTGATGTATTCTGCACTCAGGAAGTAGGCACTTAAACTTTACTTAATGAACTTATATGCGGTTGTTCTATACTAAAACTACGCAGCCATAGTACGTCAACCGAACTTAATCGAGTGTATTCAATATAAGGAAAGTGAAGAATAGTCATGATTAAGAAACCTTCTGTTTTCTCCTAAAACAGAAAGTATATGAAACAATGCGTCTGCATGAATTTATAAATAACGTGAAAAAAAAAATCAACAAGATATTATTAAAAAGCATAGCTGTAGATTACTAAAAAATGAATATAGACTATTAATTCATGGCAGATGAATGAAAAACTTGAATAATAAAAAGTGACGATATGGATTTTAGGATGTTTCTAGCATCAGATTTTGTATTACTTACTTACTTACTTACGCCTGTTACTCCTCGTGAAGGAGCATAGGCCGCTCACCAGCATCAGATTTTGTATAATCAACATAAATTTTTATATTTCATATTTAAATCAGTCAAAAAGTAGAAGTTTGACTGATAAATTTCCTCTCATTACTCACTTTAAAAAAATTCGATTACATATTCACATATCCTGTCAAATTAAATGATGACCATAGTGGTTCGGTTTATGTTACACAGTCAGATAGATAAATAACAATAGAGTAATTCTGTTTTTGTGACACTTACAGGAGTACACATAAATTCGTACGAAATATAACACGTAATTACTTAAACCCTCTACCCCTCGTGGAGGTGCACAGGCCGCCCACAAACATTCTCTATCCAACTCTATCCTGGAATATCCTTCCCAGCTGCTATTCATCATTTTCATCTCTAACTCCAATTCCCAACGCAGTGTGTTCCCTGGTCTTCCTCCTTCCCGTTTACCTTCAACATTCCAAGTCAACGTTTGCTTCGTGATGCAGTTTAACGATCTACTCAATGTGTGTCCTGTCTACCTCCAACATCTTTTCCTAATTTCCTTTCCAGCTGGAAGCTGGTTTGTTCTCTCCCACAATACACCGTTGATGATGGAATCCGGCCAACGAACATTGAGCATCTTCAGTAGACAAGTATTTATAAATACTTGTACATTCTTGACGATAGTTGTAGTAGTTGTCCAAGTTTCAGCTCCGTACAGTAGGACTGTGTTGACGTTCGTATTGAAGATTCTGACTTTGATATTGGTTGACAGTTGTTTTGAGTCCCATTTGTTCTTCGACTGTAGGAGTCCTGTTGTTGTGTTTGCCAATCCTTGCCTTTACGTGTGATCGGATCCTCCTTGTTCATCGACGATACTGTCCAGGTAGGTGGGAGTTTCCACCTGTTCTCGAGTTTCTCCATCAAGTGTGATTGGTTTTGTTGGTGTTCTGTGTGTTGTATTTGAGTATCTTGGTTTTTCACTTGTGTATGTTGAGTCCTGTTGATACAGACAGCTGCTACACTGGTTGTCTTCACCTGCATTTGTTGGTGTGTGTGTGTGTGATAGAGGATGTAGGTCATTTGCGAAGTCCAAATCGCTTAGGTGCATGCAAGCAGTCCATTGTATTTAATGCTTTCCCTCAGATATTGAGGTTTTCATAACCCAGTCAACTATTAGAAGGAAGAGAAGTAGGTATAGTAAGCAGACTTGTCTGACTCCGGTCCTCACTTTGAATGCATCTGTCGGTCACCATCCATACATCACTTTGCTATATAGTCCGTCGTATGAATTACGGACTTGTGTAGCTATGTCGTCAGCATATCTAATCTTTTATTCGGTTCAACAATAATCTGTTGAAAGTTTTTCCTGATAATGAGAGTTTAATACCTCAGTAGTTCTCACACTTGCTGAGATCTCCCTTTCTTTTTTATATTGATGAGATATCCTTCTTTCCAGTGTGTCGCCACCAGTTCTTCCTCACACATCTTACTGAATAGAACGTGGAACATGTTTGTAGTTGCTTCTATACCTAACTTCAGTGCTTCAGCTGGTATGTTGTACAGTTCTGCTGCTTTCCCACACTTAATTTGTCTGATGGTCACACTGATTTCTTCGATCACTGCTGGAGCGACAGCTGTAGGAAGGTCTGCATGTGTTGCCTCATTGTCCGGTGGGTTCGGTGTCGCTGGCCTATTCAAGAGTTCTCCAACATGCATTAACCACCTGTTCCTCTCTTCTTGAATTTCAGTGAGTGGCTTGCCCTTTGTGTCCTTGACCGATCTCTCTGGTTTACTATGTTTCCCTTCTGGTTTCTCCGTTACGTCACATAGTTGTCTCATATCTCTTTCTTTGCAGCTTTTTTCGCTGTCTTCCACGTATTTCTGTTTGTCAGCTCTAACGTTCCTCTTCATCTGCTTCTTAGCTTCTGTGTATTCGACCTTTGCCTTGACTTTCTCTGTTTTTTTTCGGCTGCTGTTAATTGCTGTGTCTTTGTTATTGATTTCTTGAATCGTGGGCAGGGGTTCGATACAGATTCATTCTTTATGATGATGCTTCTTGCGGCCCAGACCCTCCTGACACATTGAACTTAGCGCTTCATTGATCCCTTGCTAGTTATTCTCCATTGTAGTTCCCTCTACTTTGACTGCAATCTCTCATAAAACTGACCCTTATTGTCTTGATTGTTATCATTGGTAGGTGCATAGCACCGGATAACATTAATTGTTATCCCCTCCTTCTTGGTTTTGACGACTCCGGATCAATTAAATTCCCATCCCATAAGTGCTCTTCGTGCTTCTTTGAACAGCATTAGTGCAACTCCTTGTGTGTGCAAGGTATTTTCTTCGTCATCACCAGAGTAAAATAGTAAAACAGGATAATTTGTCTGCGTCAGTTTTCTATTTGAAATGAATTACTGTGTAGAGAGTGAAACACTTCACTTTAGACCTAATTATTTTAATGAACAATAGGATAATAAAATCAGTATGTATCTAGTTTATTCATTTTATAACTGAAATAACATGTAGCATAGACCAATGAGTGATAAATATTCGAAGTTTATTTTATATCAGTTGCGATATGACCTTGTTTTCAGTAGGTCCATATATATACCTCATATACCTCACGAACATACACTATATTAACTCTATGCTTAACTACACAAATTTGTTCAAGCACTTCAAGTACTTGATAGTTGGCTTTCAGTTTGCTTTACAATTATATAACTAGGTATTTTTTTTCTCTGGTGAATAACAATCTATTCTTTATTTTTTCATTTGGCTCTATCATTCATCTTTTTTATTTTACTTAAACTAATGTAATCGTGTTAACTATTTTCCTCCGTGCACACATGTGACATACTGTAGTTAATTTAGATCATTGTAACATGAAAGATTATATACAAATATATGAATAACAATTGCAAGTTAGTTTGCTAGTCAGGTTTAGATTTCTTACTGTCTAAATATGTAGGCTTGTTTGTGTGCATATATTTAAATCCATTCGTGTTATTTATCTATTTGTATGCTTTCTTTGAGTGTAGAACGAAAAAAAAGAAAGAATTATTCTTAGTTTCTGTTAACTATAAACTATTAGCATGAATGAAGTTTATTGACTATGGTCGATAAACAAGAGAATCGAAAACAAAATCAACAAATAATAACCTGTTTTTAAGTCTATATGATAAATAATAAATTATTGAAATGAACAAAGCCAATTTTTGTTTTAATGTACTTATTTTATTACCATGATTACATTTTTATTGAAAACATCAATTAGTCAGTTGGAAAACCTAAATGTTTTCATTTGATCGTCTGAATAATTTTCATTTTATGGTTATAATTATCACAAATCGGATTATGGTTACTGTGAGTAGTGGTAGTTTGTTCTATTGTATGTTTGAGTATAATCCGTAAACATGTAATTCTCTGTAAGCGATTACTTGTTCCATGTAAACAATAATGTACCACAACTTGGATAACAGCTGATTTTGTACGTTTATCAAATAGGCATACATTATCTAGAGTAATAACTTTCGTTTGCCGAATGAAGCAAATAATAGTGTACAGTTTAGTATTTGAACTAACTCGTCACAGTAATGAGGACACGTTCTGAGGAACTTATTGGATATTACTAAAATAATGGGCGAACCCTAACCGAAAATAATCAAGAAACTCGGTAGTTAATTTCAATTAGGTTTTCGAAAAAAATAAAACTATATATCTAGTAGGATTTAAGTTTTTTCAAACAACAGTTAAAACATAATCATTCAACATTTCGAGAATAGATTCATTACAGATTAAATAATTAATTAAAAATTAAGAAGTATTTCAGAACAGAATTATTGAAATATTAAATCAAAACAACTTACTATTTGTTCTTTATTTGACTATAATTATATTGTATAAACTAACCATTTCCTACGTGAATTCATGTGATCGCTGATTTTTTTTTATTAGGAAGAAGATACAGAAAATATACAACAATTTATTGATGAAATAGATGGGTAAGTTTTTTTTGCGAGTAATACATCATATCGCTTAAGTATTATTTTTCCAACTTTAAATTACTTAGATTTAATAAAAAATAATTAAAGGATATTGATATTAATTAGTTGACCTACCAAGCAACTGTACATAAAATATCCTTAAAATTTACGGAATTATGATAGGATTCAGTGATATTTATTCAAGTATCTACATTAGCAATCACATAATAATTCATGAAACTTATATTTTTTAATAACTTGAAAGCTTGATCTGACGTGGATTTGTGCAACGCTTTATTTTGATTATAGCTGACTTTAGAAGTTTGAAAGTTTATATGAGTTCTGTAACAATGATATATGGTAATATTTTTTGGTTACTTATTGCGAAACAAATTCCTAATGATAAATTAATAAGTATGATAGATTATCATGTAGATAATATTATTATGGATAAAAAAAAAGAACGATAGTCAATTCCACTTAATTCAATAGTTTACGAATAATTAAATTAAATTAACACTTTTATTCCCAATGGATTTCTTTTATTCATTTAGACTAAACAGAACCAACAAGATTGTTTTCTAAAATGGCATTTTTGTAACATTTTCTTGTACATTTGGAAAGTTAAATATACAATTACTATCAACTCTACTCGACTTGCACAGTGATAACTGATGATTTTTTTCTTTAGTGGTATACCAAAATACAACTGAATATCTTATCCAAAAATATAAATACTACCCGAAATTGATTAAAATTGGGCTGAATCTAATTAAATGTTACCATAGCTTTTTGACTAAGTGGGAAAATTTCTTTTTTTTCACATATAACAAACACGCAGTAAAAATAGTCCTGTTTTTGTAAAATACTATTTGAAATAAAATACTTCAATCTAATTATTGGACACAGATTATGACATTCTATATCGGATTTTACAATGTATGATTTTTTCTTCGCCTGTGATTATTTTAAGTAATAAATTCTTAAATGCTGTAACAGAAAACTTGGAAGAAATTATAAATGACTCTATGATATAATGTATTACAATTAGGCCATATTTAAAACGTTGAGACATTATTATAATATTCTTTTTAAGTTATTCAACTACACTAATATATTTGATGAAATAAAGTCAGATGAAGCATTAGAAAGTTTCGGCAGAGCGTTTTGTACTACATCATAATCTATGTATGCTGAATAAGATTAGCATGAATCGACTTCATTTTAACTGAACAGCTTGATATTCAAGGCTAGGTCTAATTTCCAACTCTATCCATCAATTTTTTTTGTTGCAAAGATTTTTTAAAGTTGTCATCATTAAAGTCATATTGAAGATTTTTGTTAATTCAATAAAACAATTATGGCATAACTGCACTTCATGTATACATATATTCAATTAGTTCAAAAAAATATAATTTCCCAATAATAAATTATAAGTTTCAAAGCGAGGATATTAGTTAAATTTTCAAATATGATTAATAGTTTTAGCCTGAGATCAACATGGATATTTGATTTTTATATGCCTACTTCAACTGTACTCTTTATTCATTAATAATATCAAGGATGTGAAGAATAATGTCAATTTTTTCTTTCTACGACAATTATTGGAATTCTTCATTATGATTGTATATGGCAAACATTACAAAATTGTATTTAGGAAACACCGTATGGTACGTTGAAAAAAAAGCTAACAATCATATGTTCAAATATGTTATACACATTCAACAACCAATCAAAGAAGAAATAAACCCTGTTTATTGATTGGTCCACACCAGTCAGTCTTCACGTACCTGACATTTGAGAAGGCGAATAAAACTGCTTTATTTATTGATTAATTGAAATTAAATTTTTATATGAATGAAAATTTTACCTCACTCAAAATGTAATAAAAGCACTGAACTGTTTTTACAACTATTATGATACTATAAAATACATTTTACTGTATTTATATGAAAAAAGGGAATATTTTTGAAAAGACAAGATCATTGTATACACGAACTTCATGTACATGTGATCAGAGATCCAACCTAAGAAATGCCATACCTATTCAACTAAGAGTGATGTCAACAACTATAGTTTGTTATACTTATAAAAAATTGTGACGATGACAGATATGCTGATAAATCCCCGTTTATTTATCAATTAGTTTATCTAAATGATAGTACTGATAAACACAGAAGTCTACAAATCATAATTCAAAAATAAGTAAACTGTATGATGTACTGTAATAAAAGATAAGACAGTAACTGCTATTTAATCATTATCCATAAACAAACAAAACTAAGCGCGATATTTTAAATACGACACTTAAAAAGTCACTGATTTCTGAAGTATTTATTTTGTTTAAAAATAACTAAATTGATGTAGTAAAAGGTTTAAAACGTGTTGTATTTTAATTGTAAGCAAGTCTAATGAGATTTGTGGATAAGTAACTGACAAAGTATCATCAGTCGATTCATTTCAGACTCGTTTTATTTTATTGTACATCATTTCATCTCTAAAGTAGCTTAGTCTTTTTTACTTAATTTTATACATATACAGAAGTCACATAGAGGTCAAACAATAGACTGCGTCTACGCTAGAATAACGAAGGTTAATTGAGGATCTATACAGTCATAAAAGTAAAAGAAAACAGACAAACGAAATAAAATTACACGTACAAGGGAAATTATCTTGTGTTATTTATGTTATCGTATCTTCTCATTCTTTACAAGAAAACTTGTGTGTTATCTATAAATAGTATGTTCTTTATTACAGCAAAGGGAAATCAATAACACTGATACTCGAAAAAGTAGTAAACTAATCATTGTGGAGCATAACGCTCAATAGAAAAACAATAATAAGCCGGTAGTTCTATGACTAATTATTGGATCACTGCCGAAAACACTTTTCCAACAAGTCAAAGGAATTAAATTTACGATACCATCTCTAGAAATAGCATTCTGTGATTCAGAAAAGGTGTCTTTATCATTTCTAATTCTACAAAAAGGACAGACTTTAACACAAGTAACCTGATGTGTTTGTTTTTTAATAGGATATTTTGATTAAATGGATAAATCACTTTAGAGCATATATACAATGTTAGAGAATCCTTATTTCAAAGTTTTGTAATATATATTAATATTAGTGATGAAATTTTCTTTCTTAGCATTTTGTATTAGGAAATGATAAATCGAGTTGGTCGAAATACTGATATTTATCAGGTTTCATTATTCATGGCTCCCTGTGAGTATCAAATAATTAATGTATAAGGCAGACTAGCATAACTGCTCTAATAACAATCATACATATTCTTATATTTTTATCAAACTTACTCAAACTATGTGGTGATTTTCAGCCAGTGTTTTTTGGTAATATATATATATATATATATATATATATATATATATATATATATATATATATAAAAACAGCATGATTACTTTATAGACTGAACAGTGAATGAACTGAATTTGGAAATTCTGTACAAATTATTCGGTTAATAATGGTAGATAGACTTGATGAACCGTTATCACAATTAAGATGTGAACTATAATAGGTGTTTTTGACAGAAACTGACAACTTAAAATGTAGATAAATGAACTTTCCACTTTATCTGATAATAATAGTAAATTTCTATTATTGAAGTCAGTTTAACTATAGAACCATGTGTGTTAAATTTTTTACTGAAACTAACAATATTATGAGTTTCTATTTTAATTTTAGTTCCCAAATTGTTATTAGATGAAATCTGATATACGGAACACCTTTAATATTTGACGTATTCATGTTTGATAGCCAATTATCTTCAAGTTTTCTCTTTAAATTTCAGAAAAGTTGTACATCGATGTGATTCATTAACACAAAAAGAATTGCATTCATTAATGCTTAGCTCTCAAGCACTGATCAATTGTTCAATCAGTGAAGGCCAGTCTTTGGCTGTAATGGAGGTATGTATGCGTACATAGTTGTATAACTATTCAAACTACTATTATCATCTATTTATCAAGCGATTTTCTCCTTTGAAAGTGATGTCAAGGTTTGTAAATGAAAAATGCTTTTAAACCTGTTTACTAATCGCGAAAAGATAAACAAACTTACAAATCATGGGAAATAAATAAATAAATAGACATCTAGAATGTACAGCTCCCAGGTATCCTGTATCTTTATAAGCCCTGTCACATTTTCTGTGTAAATATGAGTTTGTTTAACCGAATATTATTGAAATAAGAACTATGGAATAATGACAGGCTTAGTGTTTAAATGTAGAGAATTAATGCATCTCTACCATTAAGACTAATTCTTAATATTTTCACTTGAACTGCTCAATGTTAAATTACAGCTATCTTAAAAAACGTTAATCAAGAAATCGATATGCACTGATAGGGCTAAAACTAGTAGACAAAGACCTCATAGACTGTTTTTTGATATTGATCAGACTACGCAGTCTTTTTACAGTCTACTTCTATAATAACTGTCACAACACTTAGGGATAGGTAGTGGTTGATCAATCACCTTAATTGACGAAAGTTTACGAACTCACCGATTTATTAGTTTTAGCAAATATCCTCAGCTGACCTATCATTGTGTCGAGTTGATAAGATAGCATTAATAAAGTCGTGAATGAAAATGCATTCGAAACAGTCACATAATGTGGGCGAACTTATATTCATCAAACATGACAAACTTTTTAACACTAATATCACTGATAAAATATGTCAATAAAATCGTTGTCCAATCTACCATGAATGATTAAACATTTGCAACAATAAACAAAGATCAGTCTAAAGATTAAATTGTAAAGAAAATCTGTGAAAAGAATAAGGAACTATAAACTCTGAATAAGATTAATCGCACGAGAATAGTAGGCAAACCACAGAAAAATTCGAAACAGTTTAACCAGAATTATGAGTATCAGAAAACTTTCAAGAAATTTGAACGGTTCATGTTTCGGGTCTCTTAACAAGTCTATTTATTTTTATATCATAAAGTAACTAGTTCTAGGAAATTATAGAAATCGTCTTTTTTTATATACACAGGCTATGTCTCTTGGAGTTCCGGTTGTGGTGAGAGAAAATCCAGGTAACTGTGATCTTATCAAACATAGAAAAAATGGGTTGGTATTCAGAACATCCAAGGTAAGTATTAAGTGCAATTAGTATCTACGATAATCACTTATTTTCAAAGTGTTCATCCTAAGTGAAAAATCTTCTACCCTCATTAAATTACAAACCGTTGTGATGCCATAGTAGTATGATTGATTGTGAGAAAGACTAAATATTAAGGAAGACTGAAAGGAAAGTAATGCTAAAGCTGAAGACATACAGATGCAACTAGATGATTTGGACTTCGTAAATGACCTACATCTTCTATCACACACACACACACCAACAAATGCAGGTGAAGACAACCAGTGTAGCAGCTGTCTGTATCAACAGGACTCAACATACACAAGTGAAAAACCAAGATACTCAAATACAACACACAGAACACCAACAAAACCAATCACACTTGATGGAGAAACTCGAGAACAGGTGGAAACTCCCACCTACCTGGACAGTATCGTCGATGAACAAGGAGGATCCGATCACACGTAAAGGCAAGGATTGGCAAACACAACAACAGGACTCCTACAGTCGAAGAACAAATGGGACTCAAAACAACTGTCAACCAATATCAAAGTCAGAATCTTCAATACGAACGTCAACACAGTCCTACTGTACGGAGCTGAAACTTGGACAACTACTACAACTATCGTCAAGAATGTACAAGTATTTATAAATACTTGTCTACTGAAGATGCTCAATGTTCGTTGGCCGGATTCCATCATCAACGGTGTATTGTGGGAGAGAACAAACCAGCTTCCAGCTGGAAAGGAAATTAGGAAAAGATGTTGGAGGTAGACAGGACACACATTGAGTAGATCGTTAAACTGCATCACGAAGCAAACGTTGACTTGGAATGTTGAAGGTAAACGGGAAGGAGGAAGACCAGGGAACACACTGCGTTGGGAATTGGAGTTAGAGATGAAAATGATGAATAGCAGCTGGGAAGGATATTCCAGGACAGAGTTAGATGTAGAATGCTTGTGAGTGGCCTACGCTCGTCTATGGACTGTAACAGGCGTAAGTGAATATTTAGAGAATGAAATAAAAAAATTGTTCTCTACACGAACGGATTCTGAGCCATATCACCCAACCTCTTCAACTACCAGTTAAGATAATCGCTATGACTCCAACCTGGCGGTCTGCACCTCCTAGTGCGACCCAGTTCAGCAAACGGTGACTTCATGAACAGATATCATGTCTTGGTTTGGACGTGCGTAGTTTTCTCTCAACTTATTCCTCCTGTAGCCAACATTGTGAGTCGATATGTTTACTTATTAATGTAATTGTTCCCTCTTCTGGCGAATAAGTGCTCCAGATTTTATCCTAACAGTGACGCCAAGTGATGTATAAATCTAGAATCTCAGCCAGAATCAACATAGCAACGAATTATGTGACATACCAAGTAATTACAGATGATTTAAAAAAACTAACTTCAATATTTAAATGTAGGACTTCCAGAAGCTATCTGCCATGGAAAGGATTTAAGACTTTCCCTGCAATAGGTAGTTTTTATTAGATTAATAGCAATGTTCTTCCTTCTCGTTAATTTAAAATGACAAACTTATGTATGATTCTTATCGTTTTAAATTATTTCCAATACCGCAACGACTCTATATACTAATTAATATGTATCAAGAAAATTCTTGTCACTGTACACAAAAGCGGTAAAATAATCCCAAACACTTCTATTAGTTTCAGACTATGTGGGATTAACCAGTGTTCTTCATCTTATTATGGAAACGGTGACAGCAATAATCATCGATGGTTGATAATTCATCGCACTTATTTTATGAGATATGTACATCTACGAAGTGCTGATGTTACCGATTCTTAAACTAATTCTCATCACTGGCTCCAGGACAACACTGGACCATCATACACATTCCCGAATCTGTCAAATAAACAACTAGATACTTTATAGTGACCCACTGATAACTGATCTCATAAATCTAACAGTCTTTCGAAACACTACAAGTACGACTATTTGTAGCACATTGTGTGACATCCAATACTTGTGAATGATCTTTCTTTCCAAGCTGAACCATACAAATAGTTTCTTTATCACAGATCGATATTTCTAGACCGATAGCTTGATATTCTATTAAAAACGAAATCACATGAATAACTAGGATTTTCATCCAAATAGCGGAAATATTCAACAACCCATCAATGACGCATGTGACACGGAATGCACTCTGTTTGGACCAAGACTTTGAAACATACATATATATTTCAGTAAATTTAGAGAGTAATCGTTAGTTTTCAACAGGTGTTTAGTTAGAGTTACTTCATTTCATTAATTAATGGTCAAAAATATCGTGTACTACTAATAGTAAACAAACAACATAAAATTTATAACTTCTCATGGAAACCATACTTTAAAATCCTGCCAAAGTAAATTAGTTATAAGTTTTATATTCTAACTCTGAATTTGTAAATCGGTAAGCGTATCTGCTTTTTTAAAACCGCTTGAACTTCCAACAACCATTTGAATTACTTCCAGCTATTCTACCATATCGCTTATCTAATTATGATAGGAAGAATGGTTGGTTGTGTTCCACTCCAGAAATTAATCCAATGTAAACATGTGGTCACAAATTTTAACAGTAGGATGAATCTAGTCAACTTGTACAGAAATACCTAACTCAATATGGATGAGATCGTTTTGATTAATTATTAGCCTCGTATATGGTAAAATGTTTAAAAAGTATACATGATTATATCCATTTTACAAAGCTTCACTTTAGAGATACTTAATGAATTTTGGTTGTTAAATTCAATAGAATTTGTATTCATTTACACAAAATAAAGGGTCTGTTTTATGTATTCAGGAGCTGGGAGAATGTCTAACTTATCTAGAAGAAAATCCTGAAATAAAGAAACAACTAATTTTCGCAGGGGAAGAGTTTATGGGAGGCAAAGAATTCCAAAGAGGATATCAAGCGAAATTATATTCACACGTAATCCAACATATTTATTCTAGTGTATAATCAACATATACAGCAGTCGAGTGCATAACAAACAATATCAGTGACATTTTTCTTTAAATTTCATTATAACTGATAACCAAAAGTATATAATTTCGATTAAAAAGTAACAATAAAGCTTTTCACTGAAGTATTGTTCACTATAATATAAAATAATAAAATCTAATTTCGTCAATTTTAAACGTTAGGAAGATGGGGGATTCGAATATGGTAAGATTCCAATAAGACAAAGATCATACTTTTCACCAGATCTATAGGGATATATAAATATTACATTACATAAAAATAAGAACACAATAGTCCGAGTATGGCTAACATCTATGTCGTACCTTTGTAGTTGTGCTACTAAACAAGTTTTATGGAATAAGACAGAATCAAATTTGTTCAGTACACATTAACACCTATGATATTCCTTTTAAACTAGGCATAAAAAGGATTGTTCATGAAGAACAGTATACGAGTACTAAGACAAATAATTTTTCTGGTTTTCCTAAGCTCTAATAGAGAGTAACTATTAGTTGGGCATTCAAGGAGCGTCTCAATTACTAACATGAACAAATCCACTAATAGTGAATTAAACTGAATGTTCAATTCTGACTAGCGAAATAAGAATTAAATCTAAATTTAGAAGAATGATAAGTGAGATCTTTCGGTAAACTCCACATAACCTATTGTTTATTTCGCGTAGATATCTACGAAACTAACTGATTCTAATAACCTGCGGTGGTAACTTACAAGCAGTAATTTCATAATTTCTTGGAGTTAAAAGCATTCCAAATACAATAATGATTGTCGCTTGAAAAAAATATTCTAAGCTTTATAAGCCTACAAAATCGAAGAAAATGCGTATACAACAATTCTCAATCATCACTGATAGTTGTTCCTTTAATGACAATCAAATTACAATTTCCAGTGTAATATAAAATAATTGCAAAATATATGCATTATTCCCGATAAGTGATTCTAAAGACGTTTTTAATTTTAGCTGTTTAAAAATTGCCGACAAAAACTTGGTACGCAAAACGAAACTGACTAAGCAGCACTTACAATTCTCATCACAAACTTAGTTCGGCAAGAATTCAAATCACATACATGTATATTATCGGCATTTTATTAGATCAAGCAGTTCCTATATATGTGAAGAAATATATCAGCATGAACAAATGAGAGGAAATAAGAACAAGAAGCCGCTGCCTTGACATATGAAATCAAAAGAAACAATGACGAACCAAATTACGGGCGAAGGCAGGAAATACGATCAAACAGATGTACAACATTCATTACTTGCACAATAAACAAAAAATACCTCATTTATACAACATACACAAGATAAATGTTCATTTAAACGAACGCAAATCAGAGTAAAATGATTAAAATATTCATATGAAAAAGTCAAAGATTTACAAGATTTCAAATTGAAACAAAGTCGTTTAGGCATACTGAAACTGCCTGCAGTAATTTTGCATGTAACTTGAAAGTGATGACAAAACGACCGGGATCAATAGTTTTGGAATATTAATATCAATATGAAATGCAAAGGGTTAAAGAAATTAAATATAGTAATGAATATGAGATGACTGATTTATTAAAATGTTGAACAGCAGTTCACGCCAATACATGATTGGCATTTATATGAATATACTTTGATATATAATTAGGAAATAATTCGTTGTACAGCTAAAAAGTATTAACTGGACTGTTGTCCAATAAAAAGTGATTACCGGATATTATGGTACATTTGAAAACCGGCAATCTACTGGAGCACCAAGATAATGAGGTATGTTGATAAAAGAATAGAAGATACACAAGCAAGATAAATACATGAATCAATAACAATTTAAGTGAATTCTCTGTGGAAGGCTTGATAACCATAACATAGTATGTTCGTAGGTTATTTACAAAATTTAAAATGTTACTTAAGATGAAAAATATGACATTGGGTTAGATAAACTTATTGTATCAAAATAAGAATCTGTACAAAAATGCTTAGATAAACTGGGTCTGGGGATAGAGAACTCTGAGATTATTGAACGAGAATAAGATAATATGAAAACCCAGGTCACAAAAAAAATCACCATTAACTGAAAATGATTGGATTTAATGTCAGAAAAGATTGTAAGTGATCCGTGTTTATGTATACATTGTAGTATCAAATAGTTGGATAATCTGCTTCATATTAAGATCAACATACAGCCCCGTTATTGTTTGTTGATGAGCGATCGTTGTTTGAGTTCATTTTTTGTGAAGCACAACCCACTTTAGTTAGATCTAATTGAGCTTGCAAACTATCTCTGATGCGCAGTAGGGTTTGTTCGACATTGTCGAAATGACCAGTAACGACATCAGGATAAAAGAAAAAGCCTTCATTATTTTTATAATACTTTGAGGGATGTTTAGAGATTGTGCAAAACTTCTTTGTATTTAAGTAAGGCTGACTGGAAACCCGGTGATGCCATGGAGACGTGTTACGTTTTTCTCGTTCATAAGATCGCGTTTCTTGCCACACACGTATCTCGTTATCGCGTTGTATGAAGTATTCCAATGACCCAGATAGATGAGTTGGATTATCTTCTGGATTCTTCTCGATATCATACGACGGAGCAACCGGACTGTTTGAAGACGCTGGATGTCCGGAGAATGAAGGAATAGGAGGAGGAGGTGGGGGCGGTGGAGTCCCTGTGGAAATCACCAAACCATACAGATGTTGAGAATCATCTAAGTTAAATGTCTTCTTATAGTAATGAGCCAGTCTATCAAAATGTACTTGTTTAGTAGAAACTGGTATACTAACTGAAGGCTTGTGATCTACAACTTCGGACCCAATACGATCCTACAAATACAAAAGCATACCATAAATTTTAAAAGATTCAGCGTAAGATAACTAGGGTTCAATATGCTGAAAATCCTAAATAATTGTCAAAACAACTAAAGGAACACATAATCACTACAACTACAAAATTAAAGTAATTAATGAGTTTTATATGTGAAAAGTCTATAAATCAGTTAAATATCGTATAAAACAAATGCCCTGGTATGGCCGAGAGCGGGGTGGGTTTGCCCTCCCTCTCGAAATGTCCGGCGCTTTAACCGGATTCCAAACCAATGGTGCACATGGGCTCCAGTATCCTGCGGGAACAAATGGCGTATGAATCAATTTCCGGTCACCGGCTACCATGGGACTGCATCTCCTCACGATGCTCCACTGCCTTGTGGGTTAGACTATTAGGTCAAAGGCTCGGGGTGTGGCCCCCTAAGATAACCACCTGCTTCGGTTTGTGCACCCGGGTAGTATCACAGCCCACACACAATTAATGAATTGAACTGTCTATGATCATGGAAACTAATTCTCTTGCTCCGACGAACATTCAAATGATTCAAATATTATTATTGCTGCTATTATTATTATTATTATTATTATTATTATTATTATTATTATTATTATTATTATTATTATTATTATTATTATTATTATTATTATTATTTACTACATCATTATTCACCCTCTTTTATTCCTACTCTGTCTATACTTATTTTCTGTTCGACTTATACAGCAGCTCATCTTTGGTGGAAATTCGACTCTATTTAAACGTTCTCGAGTCACTGTCCGGTTGAAAATTGTATGTTACCACCGAATACGAGGACTGAAGCAAGTTTTCTGAAACTACGTGCACCATTAAAACTGGCTGCCTTCAACGTTCGCACATTTATGCAGGTTGGACAACAGATAGGACTGGCTATGTCTTTGGAAAGTCTTAATATTGATGTTTGTTGTCTATCCGAGACCCGTATTCAAGACTCTGGTGAAGTACTACAAATTCGATCTCCCTCTGTCGCTCCAAAAAGCTTGTTTCACGTGCGCTTATCCGGGGACCCTGTGGCACTTTCGTCTGGTCTTGCTGGCGTTGGTGTCGCACTAAGCGCTAGAGCTGAGGCAGCACTAATCGATTGGATCCCCAATAACAGTCAGTTATGTGCTGTTAGATTAGAGAGTTCCATCAAAGTGAGAAGAAACCGGCGTGAGAAACGATGTATTTTCGTCATCTCCGTCTATGTTCCGACAGATTGCAGCCCGGATGCAATCAAGGATAATTTTACCACCAGTTAACTGTTTTTCTTCAGAAAGTGCGTCCGACAGATATTGTAGTACTAGCCGGAGACTTGAATGCTCAGGTCCGGCGTTTAGGCACAGAAGAGGGTCGTTCAGGTGGTCGATGGGGACTTCTTGGTCGCAGGACAGATAACCAGGACCGTCTACTGCAACTATGCACAGACCACAACCTGTTTCTGGCTAGCACTAACTTTCGGCACAGTCATCGCCGATGTGCCACCTGGCGTCCTTCCTCTGCATCTCAAGCCTGGACTCAGATTGATCACATCGCGATCAGCTACCGCTGGCGTGGTTGTGTACAAGACTGCCGCTCCTTTTGAAGTACCTATCTGGACTCTGACCATGCCTTGGTCTGCGCCAATCTTACCTTACTTTTCAGTGGACAACGAAGTGATCGCCTCCAACGGATTGATGTTAGCAAGCTGGGTGCAACTTATGTTGCTAGTAAGTATCGAACCGAGCTAGCTTCTAGGCTAGCGACCACTCCACCGAAAAGTATAGATGAGCATTGGTTGCAATTGCACGACGCCATGAAAATGGCGTGTACAGTCAGTTGTGGGGTTTGCGAAACGTCCCGCTTATAAGCACTGGGTTTCTTCAGGTTCCTTACAACTCATTGAAGCCCGTCGGTCTACTCCGAATAACCGTGAGTTTGACCACAAACGAAGGTTGTTACGTAGCGAAATTGGGCAAAGCTTGCGTAAGGACCGAGAAGCCTGGTGGTCGGAGCGTGCTAATGAGCTGGAAGCAGCAGCTGCATCTGGTAACTACCGGAAGCTCTTCCAGCTCATCCGAGCCACTGGCAGCAAGAAGTCTGGTGTGAGCGAAACAATCTGTGAGGATGATGGGATGCCAATCAACAACATCCATCGACGTCTTGGACGATGAGCAGAAT